ACTTTACTACTGTTTAATTCTGTGTGGTTGGGGAAGGTTAGGGTTAAAGCCAAATTCTAGTCATCACTAATTTGTCACTTTTTTCTGGCTATATCAGTCATTTCATTACTTTGACTTCCAGGCGCCTGCGGTGTGTGAACAAGCTATTTAAATGAACTGTGAAAAAAACATTCCTTTGTCACTGTTCGCCCTGTTACTTATGACTGATCTTTTGAAAGGACTTGTAAAGAGACTAATGAAAGTGCAAGCGATGGACTACATGAACAACACTGATGTATAGTTCACATAACGGGTTTTGCCCTTACCCAATGTATATTAATAAGCACTGTATGCTCAGCGCTTGTCGGAGAGCTTGCGAAAAAACCTCACAAGCTTACTCAGGTGGGACTCAAACCCACGACCTCCTGCTTACTAGTGCAGATTTTGCACTGAGCATACAGTGCTTATTAATATACGTCTAATAGGGGCGAAACCCATTATATGAATTTACATCTCCCCAACGCAAAAATACATCTTGAAGACGGCTGTATAGTGCGTACAGCTACTGCCCTGAAACGGTTGTGTTCAAAGCAGATGCTGGTACTGGTAGAGATTAATCCAGATCGGTTACCTGGAGAAGGATTCTGAAGAGAGGCTTCCCCAGTCCCCACACCAGGCAAGGCTGAGCTTCTGGAGATGCTGACATCGCTCTGCAAGACCTTCTAACGTGTTCTCATTGACCTGCAACAACAGATGGATTTGAAATGAACAGACCGATGAATTGCACAGGATTACTAAAGAGCAAATTCCAAGGCCATGGTAACGGTGGAAAGACCGTGCAAAATTGCTGGTCAGTCACGGTTATCCCTGGGAACAATCCACACCTAAAACTCTTAATGTGACATTTTTACACGTCAGGGTGTAAATCCTGGGAAGATGCAGAGGGTGTACACCCCCCTTTGACCAGGACAGATGGGCTATTTGACTATCACTCCCACTCTTGGCAGTGAGAAACAAAAATAATATAAGGAACTGAAGTTATTCTAACTTTCCAACAGCCGAAAAATGTATGTGTAGTAAAAAGCACTTACAGAACAAACGATATACAACATCTATTCACTGTCACATACATTCGTTTTCACTCTCTTGAAAAGTCCATTAATGGATTTAAATCCAAACTTCAATTCATAACCAAACAGACAATTCAACAATTTGAAACTTTAGGCAACTTGCAAGTACTTTACCAGATGCCACTGAGGCTGGAGATCCAACTCCATGAACTGAAGCTTGTCGTAGCAGTGCTTCTTGAACAGCTTGCAGGTGGGTGCCGCTCGGCAGAGATCGGGCAAGTCCAGATCGGTGAAGATCAGCTGGATTAACTCTCCCTGGGTGGATCACGGCAAAAAAAACCCAGGAAGTTGTGAATAAGCACAGACTTGACAAAAGTTGTTCACAACACTGTCATACCGAGTTCTATCTGTCACAAGTTTAAAACCTGAATATATCGGTATGTATCTTGAAAACCAACATGCAGGTACTACACTTGAACGTAACTGCTGCTGTCAGGACACAAAATGCCACATTGGAAGTAGACGGTGATAGCTAATGAAGTGTTGGAATCAGTATTCTCACCAGCGCTATAGAAAGTCTTTCTCAGTGACTTGGGACTGTAACGTAAAGATTTAAATCCAGATCCAAACTTGTCAAGTTTTTGTCTGAAAGAAAACAGTCACTAGACTTGGACCAAAGACTGAGTCATCAAATACGGGCTTGAAGTCAGTCCTCAATCATGATTGCCGGCAATGTAACCAGAAAATAGTAATGTAGCCTTTGAGCCCCAGTCTAGGTTGAGAGCTAGACGCTACTATCACGGGACCAAAGACTTGGAGTCAGGTGATTTGTAAAAGACTGAAGTTACCTGCACTACTTACTGGTAACATGTCAAAGCAGCCATTATCGGTGCTCATATTGGGAGAGACACTGATGTCATCTTGAGAGTTAATAGACAACTTCTGCATGTGAGCGGCATACACTGCATCAACATCTGGCCAAGAAAAAAGGTCAATGGCATGGCAACTTTCCAGATGATCAAGGCAGATCGATTTACTTAATATTTGAACTAGTCAGCCTAAGGATTACTGAGAATATAACAATCAGTTGAAATTGTCATTTACAAGTGAAATATAGGAGATCTGTACATACACATCTAGTGCCCTAACTTCATTTCTTTAAAATATGTTTGAAATTGGGTTCTGACTCAGGCTGCAACTGCTATGTCATCTAGAGGACACAACAAAGAAAACTCCCGTAATCAATACAAAGATACTAGTGTTGTAGCTCACCATAATTCCCCTCACAAGACCAGTCATAAGCAACAGGTTGAACAGTGACAGAGGAATGCTTTGTCACAGTTCATTTCAATAGCTTGTGACTTGGCTTAACCACTTTGCGCCAGTGGCAGTTATCATTGTTGTTATCATTTTTCAGTTATAATTTTTTTTCTGTTTTCAAATTTCTTTAAAAATTCATATCTTCATTTACTGGACACTTACACCCACATGAAGGACTGTCTGGCTCTACCCTAATCTAACGGACAACACCTAAGTCCTAGTGACGCTAAAGTATTTCAGCCAGGCCTGCCGCCTTGTAAAAAGAGCCCAGATTTTGCGGTGTTATGTAATTTTCTTTTGTTCACGAAACTGGCACAGTGCGCTGCTGACCTCTTTTCAATAGGGGCCAGATTAGCGTGCAGTGGTACTGTGTGACTCATCGTAGCAGTGGTGGAGCGCTTTTCTCCCTGATGGTAATCCGCTTGTGCTGAATGCCTCCAACCGTGGTATACTGTTTCAAAACAAAACTGGATTATCTCCACTATTGAGAGTGAAAAAATGTTGGTAATTCCCAGCAGCCTGGTCTTTTGTTATGAGTACAGTCTTTTTTACAAGGCCCAGTTCCCTTTGTCCGATTTCGGAGACCCCAGCCACGCGTATAAAGAATACTTGTCTGAAACTGGAATCCCCGGTGGCAAGTGGTTAAGACTGAATGACTTGTCCTGGACTCGCAGAACTTGCAGGGACTTTGCGATAGACTCAATAACAACACTGAAAGACACCAAATCTGATGAATACTGCTTAACATATTTGCACGTATTCTACCTTGTATTACATTGTACATATTTATTTCTTAGGGAATCTAGACACCAGACTATCCACCCTGAGCTGAAGTGCACCCCTAATCGGCGAAAGACAGACGGATGGTAGTACAGTTTTCCAACCGGGTTCTTAGTGCACGTAAAGACCATACTTTCTGGAATAAATTTGTCACTCTTCGTCAAATGCACATACATGAGTGCCTAAGACGCCCCCTTTGTTCCGCTCGGAGCAGATTGGAGGTGGTAAGCTCTTGGAAATTCACCATTTACTATGTGAATTTCATTAGAACAGATGCGAAGCTAATCCTGCACATCTTTTACTCTGACAACACTCAAATCTATGCCCTACATGTACACGTATGTGATTACCAATGCAACCAGGAGGTTAAGGTCTCATGCCTTTCCTGGGAATAGCCGTTTTTACCTGTTCCATCATCATGCAGTGTGCCCACCAACTCTACAGCGTCTAACTCTGTGTAGTACCGTAAATGCTGATGGTGGAGAACTAAACGAATTAAACTGGAGTTGAATGAAAAAAAAAAGTAACTTGTAATCTTGTGCACAACCCAAACTTACAACATACCCAAATTACTGTTCATAATTCATATCATGAAGTCACTGGAATAGCCCATGTAACATAAAATTATAATAAAAGGCCAAATTTAATCTTGTTCATGCACTGAAATCTGAATAGAATAGGAATCTTTGGTAAGTGGGCATCTTTCTTCAATCTCAAGAGAACAGACAGAGAAAGATTTCACCACATTTTGCCTCCACTAAACAATCAATCGTACCGTACTTACACAGGAGAGCAGAAACTTCATCTCAAAAGTTAAAGGTTCCAAGCAGTGCAATTCCTTTACTACAACCCTTGAAAATATACCCTTGTGTTTCAATTAATCTTGTTTTCATTTTTTTTGTTTGAAATACCTTTTCAAAAGGTATTTTGGCACCTTTTGGGTTTTTCATGCTAAAAGTAAATTTCATATTAATGAGCAAAACTGAGACATTATCCAGGGAGAAAAACCTCCACGTGCACTGATTCGTGCACCAAAAACTGCTGGAATTTGTGTTATTTTGCCCTCCTGAAGTTATTTTTCTTCAGTGAATTATGACTGAGTAAGAACATGACAATAAGCAAACAAGCTACTCCTTCTCAGTAATATTTCCAATGAGCAAATTTTGGTGTTCACAATTTGAACAGAAAAACATATAAACTGATATTGTCTTCCCCGACTGACATCATGGCAACAATTTACATGTTGAAACAACTGCACTCTTGAATTCACTCTGACTCAAAAAGAAGTGTCAAGTAGTTTTCTTACGATGAAGAAGACTGTAAAAATGCAGAGGAAGTGAGTGGGAAAAAATGTTGTTACCTGCATCCTTTTGAGGGGTCAATGAAATGATTTTTAATCTCAGACACACTGAGAGCGGTTTACAAGAATTTGGGACAAAGGGCCCTCGGCAACACTTACTTGGATGCAAACCGGACTTTCCTGAGAAGTGGTGAGAAGATCCGTGGATCGGACAATGACACCTGAGGACTGCCCGACCATAACAGCTGCCACCTGAGCATAAAATACACTGACAGCCAATGAAAATGCACCACTCTTCATTGATTAACTTTGACATTTTAGTGACTGCTTGTGGAAAGGTCAATGACACTCTTGTTATAACTCACTACTGCATTAAAACATACATGCACATAAAGCATGAAAAACTACTAAAGTTAATAAACTATGCATAAATTCATCTGAAAATGGTGTGTAAAAACGTCTTGAATACTGCATTTTCATTGGCCCAGAAGGATCACAAGACTGGGCAACAAAATCACGTGTCACCATGAACACCTGACAACAATCACATCATGGTGTCATGGACTAGTCCCCGACCTCTCCCTGTCTAAACCAAAATAAGGAGACCATTACCCAGACTACTCATTGATAATTCTGCTACTCTCAGCATACAGTTGGTAAAAGTAAACACCATGGGGACCAGCAAACTGGCATACAATGTTATCAGCTGTTGGAGCTCTGCAACTTTTTGTCAACGGTTTCAGTTTGTTCGAAATCCCTTCACTTCTGTAATGTCTGCAGATCTTGAAGATCAAGACGATACAAGTGCAACTAAACACAACCGAACTAACACCGTACTGCACCAAAATCTTACTGCGTAATTACAACTTTCTGTGCAGCAATCAGTGAGATACTAGTCATTTCAATTTGATTCCAGACCTTCAAGTGAGGAAAGTACCACAGAGAATTCAAGACAGAGGTATTGAGTACAGAGTGAACATGTCATTTGCATTGTCATGAGCATCAAAGTAAATAGTGTGACAAGAAGTGCGTGAACCAACACACATGCGTACTCTACTCCTTTGCACTACACTTCCTGGTTGAAATGACCTCAAGCTTTGGTACATTGTAACAAGTCTTGACCGTAGTGACGTGGGACACAATGTTTTTAGCCACTGAAGAGAGCCAGCTGCGGTAAGAAGCGATGTGGACACTTCTCCATAGCTCCACTTTTCCGTAAGAAGCTCCTGGATACTTCAACTGACTCAGTACATGTAAAGTAGATAAGTTTGTGGTAGCACTATGGATGCAACTCTTTTTTGAGTATGTGGGATTCTGAAAAAACCGGTGGTGCTCAACGTTTCGGAGAGTATGCTCTGTCCGTTATCAGGAGACTGCAGAGGGTCCAGTGATGAGGCAGCTTATATGGTGTGTAGCGGGCAATGAGGTGTGGAGTGCATGCCAACTCCAAAACATTGAGTATCACTGGTTCTTTTCAGAACCCACATACTCTAAAAAGAGATATGGGTGATTTCAGAAATTTGGGGTCCAAAAGTGTGACATTTTTGTGTACGTTACGTCTGACTGCTGTTATCTGACATGGAAATATCACTGGAATTAATTTCAAACTATTACTATTTGCTTGGCAGGTAATTTGCATTAATTCATCACTCTTGGAGCTAGAAAATGTGTTCTGAACTTACAAATCATATGTCAGATGTGACAGGGACATGAAAAAAATGGACCCCCTAATTTCTGGAATTACCCATATCTCCATGATGATACTGCAAACCTATCTAGTAAATACTTGCTACCTCCACTATGAAAAGCTCCAAATCTCATCCAACTCACTACATGTGGCTTAAACTTATTTAACCCGACAGTAGGTTATTTTGACCCATCTCACAGCCGGGTGGGGGGGGGGTTGGATTCTGCCAACAACTTGGCTGTGCATGTACAGGCACTCCTTGTCATTACAAATGCAGAGTTAGAACTCAATCACACAAACGGTTTTTGTTGTCTTGGTCATTTGAAGTTACCCTACATGCATGCCAGTGCGTATGCACTGTGCACCGAGGTAGAGAAAGTATACATTTTTGGCTGACCCATCTCAGAAAAATGCACACTGAGTGAGAATGGTATGTTCGATTTTTGCAAAAATGGTTTCAAAATGACCACAAAGAGTTACAGCGAAAACTTCTGAAGCCTTGACTCCTCAACAAAATGCACTGTGGCGATATAGGAAATCCCCCTCCCCTGGCTCTTTTAGGGTTAAGGAAGCAACTGAGAAATCTTTGTTCTTTTCATTTCTCACACTGAGAAGGCCATACCGTGTAAATTGTGAATACCCACCTGACACTGTCGTTGACTATCTGCCCAGCCTTGTCCCTGTGTATCTCACAGGCAAATATCTGCACCACAGCCCCTGGGTGGTAGGTCTCATAGATGCGCACCTCGGTGGGGTAAACCTTCTCAGCATACCACAAGTCTGGGGTGAGGGGGGGGCGAGAGGGATGAAGAGAACACAGAAAGTGGTGCACTGCCTACTCACCAGAGTTGATGAAGGATGTATTATGCATGCACATTAATGATGTGTGAGCCTGACATGAAACTGACCTTGGGTCAGGTTGAGTCTCCTTTTCCATCATTTCAGTTAGGTCAGGTCATTTTCTGTGTTGACCTTGTGATTTCGGGTTGGGTAAAATTTGATCTAGATAAAAATACCTCCAGTGGTAAACAAAAAATAAACTATTTATTGCCGGTTCACAATGCCAATAAAACCATGAACAAACAAATTAAGACGATTTGTTCAAGCCACTTATTTATTGTTTTGAGGGAAGGAGGAGACCGTTCGGATGCCCAACTGAAATGGCATTAAAGTGTCTGTACTTGTTTGCAACAAGTCTGCTCTGCATATTTACTACTTAGAACACCCGTTGCCAAGAAGTGGTTTGGATATTAAATGATATTCTTAAACAAGTAAAATGTCCACAATTCCACCTACAAGTGGCTGCTCCTGTGGTAGTTACAAGAGTTTAGCCATCAAAATTCCCTCATGGGGAACGATAGTATTCCTTCGCCATCCTGATGGAGAGAAGGTATCGGTATGCACCTACCTCCCCCCAAAACGTAGTACTCCAAGTTAAACATATCCAAGGCTTTGTGAGTTTTGCAAACACTTCCTGACCCTTGTTCCTACATGTACTCTGCCTTACCCACAAAGTCTTGACCAAGGAATGGTTTCTTGCCATTTCGGCCGATTGGGGGCTGGCTGGAAGGGACAGACTCCCACCACGGTCCATACGTCCTCTGTCAGAAATAATGAGAAATAATGAGCCAGCGTGATGTAAGCAATGAGCCACTACAGACACTATCATGGTGCTAAGGCAGACCTACACTAGTGGATGCCACTGCCACGCAAAGTTTCAAGATTTACTAACCCTTGCTGGGTTATATCCTCCATTTTGCTTCATTTTGCTTTGACTGCCCATACTTTGCTGTAGGAAACACTACAACAGTGGAGGTCAGCAGCCCACTCCAAGGAATGCTAAGCTAATCCTTTGATACGTGTAAATGCGAATGATACTCGCAAACCTCTCAAATTCACTCCATCTGGAGCCTTTGCTGATATTAAAGGTAAGGTATCCTCCAAAGAAAGACCTCAGCAAGAAGGGAATTTGTACATCTTGGTGGCTTAACATTACACAGGTGTACAGAGCAAAGGTTACGGCCAATTTGCGACTCATCTTGTGATTTGACAGCAGAGGCTATAAAATGGTGGTCACAATAGGAGGGTGCCAGGATGTGTGGCTTAGAAGAAAGCCAAGTACAATGTAAGTGCTGACCATGACATACATGTCTTTATCATGACAACCCCAGTCTTCCTTCGATGACCACCATGTAACTATTAGAAATGCTCCACGAATATTGAAAGTGCCAGGGTCCAATTACTTAGAGCTGTCTGTCGCACCAGGAACTTTCAGTGCTTAGCAAAAGTTGGCTTATAAGCACAGAGCTATACAAGAACTAGAGCGCTAACCTCTCATTCTCTGTGTGAAGAAAATTTGACACCGTCCAGACATTTTGAGTCCATGTACGTACTTGTAGAACATTCAAAATCAGATAGAATGAATATTGAATTATGTATTCTCAATGCAATGCGCAAGTACAACATAGGCGAACATCTGTGCGTCTTTTGAATAAAATGCACAAGGACAAGGCAAAAGCATATTTATTTACATCAATAGCTGATCATTTTAAGCGAAATGTTTCCCTAACATTCAAGTAAGGTCATCCAATTTCGTATGCATGTCTTTCGATGGCTGTCTTTCAATGAATAAGTTCAGCTAAATTAAAAAGTCGTAATTAATTCAGTCGGCGTTAAGTAAATTAAAGGCCCTGGAGTAGTGGGTGTCATGCACATTCGGTACCGATAAAATTTAAAAATGGTCAAGGCAAATTTCATTTGAAGCGCATACGTGCACGCATTTACGTTTTTAGTGCAGAGCAAAATACAACGCTCATTTACTGATTGTGTGTTCAGGTTGTTTGCGTATTGGCTTCGTTGAGGTATCATTTCAGAATACTATGCAGATATGCAAACAGCCATACAAAGGCCGTACAACATTTGGAGTTCTCCATAGGTTTGTTCACACACATGGATGTGCCCAGCAGGCACCATTTTGTACACGAGTCAGTGCTCTAGTTTTTATACCGCCATGCTTACAAGCAGCCACAACATGTTGACCCTTTGGCCGGTGACCTTTATGCTTAGTCTGCATTTTCCAGACACTGGTACTAGGCGGCTCTACAAAATTGGCCCCAGCTGGATCCCAGCCACACTCACAAACACGCAGGCTGCTGTCATGTCGCCGTAACTCGGGTAGATGGTGCTGGGCCCGGCCAGGTTCGGCACCACGTAAGACACGCTGCCGTCTGTGCCATACTGTGAACTGAAGTGAATGACCTCCTTGGCAAACTGGCTGACTGTGGTTGACATCTTAGTCTTGGGCTGGCCAACACACGAAGCACGACAGCCCATACAAGAAGAGACTACAATGAGGTTTACTTCACCAATCTTCAGTTAATTTATTTTTTTTCTTTGGGCAGACTGTTTGCCTGTTGCAATAAAATGAAATGCAAAGAGTGAGTGTCTGAAACACTATTTGAAAACTGGGTCAGATTTCTTTAATCTGGTCACCAACTGACCAAAGTTCATGAGTTTTTTCTGGGAGTAGATTTTCAGGTATTTACAATTCATGTCTAGTATTTTCAAAACACAGTGTTAGATTAGCTTGCAAGTTTATTATCATGTTATGTACGTCTTACTGCAGGTCTTTTTTACATAGGAGAGACTAAGAACACTCTCAAGAAGTGTTTCGATGGCCGCAGATGTACGGTCAACACCAAACGACTAGATACCCCTGTGGGCCACCACTTCAACCTTCCTAACCATTCTATGTCTGACATGATCTTACAGGGCACAGAATCACTTGGGCACCATAAAGATGCTGTTCTCTGCAACAGGGAGAAGCTTTGGATCAAACGCCTGCGCACCATACAACCCCACGGCCTGAGCATCCAAGAGGGAAACTACTAATTAGCACTCTTTTCTGTCCCTCTCTTTTGTCTGCAGATTATACCCCCCTTTGAGTCCAGTTTGTTCCATTGTCTTTTTCTTTGATCTCTTCCCACTTTACATCCCTTTGTTATTCAACCATGCCTTTTATGCAGTCCCTTGCCCCTTTATCCAGCCTGCAGCTTTCTTGACCTTTCCTTGAGTCCTCTTGCATTCATCCATGCTTGGTTGATTCCCTGCTTGTTTGTTTGTCCTGTCTGCTTGTCATTTTGCCTTTCAGAAAGAGTCTGCTAGGATCGAAATGTCAGGCCCTCCTTAAGTATGACTGGTCTTTTTTGTTGTTATGATTCCTGACATGATCCATGAGTTATAAAAATCTTTATGATACAAAATTAAACATTGTTAAATTGTGATAAATTATTATCACTTACACTGCAACTTTTCAGTGGAAACGTAAACCCAAGATTTTTAGAAACGGGAATTATTAGAGTTTGATTAAAGTTTTACATGTAGGCCTAAATGATTATCTAGAGTAGTTTACTGCTTAAAAGAACCGAAGTGGGCAGAAATCGTCTTGGTTACAACTGGAACATATCTACAGATGCAAGAATATTTTGGCTGTCAGGCTTTGCGTGTTTCATTTATTATCACAAAGTTGCCAAATAATAAAATAGTATAAGGCTCAGTGGGTCCAATGTGACTCGGGCTGGGTCCGAGTTGGTCATGGATCCGAGTTAGTATCGGGTCCAAGTTGGCATAGTCCGAGTTGGTTTTGGTCCGAGTTGACCTGATCCCCTGCTGTGTAACATGGTGTAGAGGCTACATGTACGCCAATGTCAGATCAGGCCAGCTGACTGTATTAGTGTTATGCGCTAAAGTGGCTTTGCCACTTTCTTGACTTTGTTAATAGCAGTGACATCGATAACGTACATGTACACTGTACGTGTACGAGCCCTAAGTTATATATGTACCATGGAGCTATAAACAAGGAGCTCTATCTATGGTTAAACATCATGTAGGCCTAATCCTTTATATGTACATCACATGGCCTGGGGCCTAACACTAAAATTGTGGCTGGCCCAATTAGGCCTATCAGAGACTTTCTGCACCCCAGCTCTTGTTCGTGTACCTACCTAAGTAAGTTCAGAAGTTGGAACTGGACGCAATTTTCGCAAGAGAAAACATGTGAGGAATGTCTTCAGTGAGACAGGTGTGAGTGCATTGGATGGACTTCCGCTAAACACTTCGCAAGAGGGCGCTGTGCGTCGCACCCTTTCCTTAGCTTTCCGAAGTGGCATTAAGTTTATCGATAAAAGAAAATAATGTTACGTTACGATCTTTCGATTTGTCCGGATCCAGACCGTCCCATTTACTGACTACGTGCATTTACTGACTACGTGCATTTACTGACTACGTGCATTTACTGCATCCTTGTGAACAGATCTTTAATTCGGAGCGGGGGACGGGATTCATAAACTCGCCTGACCGTGGAAATGTGGAGGCCCAGCATACGTTCCCCAATAGCAATTAAAACTCCTAAACAATTAGTGCTTAGAAAAATTACTAAATGCTTTAAACTTACTGCAATTTCTCATCTCACGCATAATTACAGCTCGATAAACACGACAAAAAGGCAAAAATGGATTTTTTTCCAGATAACTTTTATTAAATTTCAATCATCTGTAAACATTGTAAGGCTTAATGCCCACATGTTTGTGGTCGCCACCCTTGACATCACGTGACCTAGCCGTTCTGGATAATTTCTCATCAATCGTACCTCTCTGTGAATTTTGGTGTATAGAAAATACATTGTCCCATCAAATCGATTTTTCAAGTTATTGCTACCTCGTAACCTAATTCAACTTGTACTTAATATTTTGTATTTTTGTTTTGTATTTATCTGAAGTATATCTCAATTGTCTTTTGTCCTTGTCTGGTCTGCTTTCACGCCTGTTAAATTCCCAGGTATATCTTGCAGACAGCCAGTTAAGAGAATATTTGTAATAACTGGATCCATCTCAAATGTACTTCCCTTTCTTTAGCTGAGTACAGTAATCTTAGTAGTGATGATAATCCTTGGTTTTGCCATGCGTGCATTGCTAACATATTCCCATTTATCTCGCTAAATGATTCCGAGGTTCGTAGTGTTATAAATGAAAGTAACATCAATCTTTCTGATTCAGAAAGCATTGGTGATGGTTCTAGCTTTAGTAATGATCACGTTAGAAGATCTAATTTTTATAGTATGGATCTTAATAATCCCTTTCATTCTCCTGGCAATTCACAATATTACTCAGTGGATCGGTTTCCAAAAAATGTTGCTGTGACGGTTTGTCATTTCTTCATCTCAATATCCGGAGTCTTCCGAAAAATTTTCACCAGCTGAAGTATTTACTGCAGTCTCTTGTTTATAAATTTTCAGTTATTGCTCTCTCCAAAACGTGGCTCCAAAGTACTCCAGATGATTACTTTTTAACACCTGGTTATGAACTCATCGTCAACAACAGATTAGACAGAACGGGAGGAGGGGTTGCACTTTACATCTCCCGTAACCTGGCCTTTGAACTGCGGAATGATCTTACGTGTTCCAATTATTATCTTGAGTCTTTAGTTATTGAAATTAACGTGCTTAAATAAAAAATTATTATTGCTGGTGTCATGTACAAGTCTCCCAGAGTTAATCACAATGACTCCATGCCTGCCTTTCACAACCTTACCATACAAATGACTCCAGATAGGAAAGATTGCTTTATTGCAGGTGATTTTAATATCAATTTGCTTAATCATGACAACCCTTGGTCCCAGGATTTCTTTGATATTTTTCCTTCATATTCCTTTCTTACCTTAATTAATAAGCCCACTAGAATAATCGATACTTCTGCTACACTTACTGATAATTTTTAACAAATGTTTGACCCTCACCAAAATCAGGTATAACAATTAGTGATATATCTGATCCCCTGCCTATATTTACACTAATGCAATGTGGTATATCAAACGCTTCTTCCAATTTTCAAGATACTTGTGCTGCAACTCGGAATTTTACTCCCGATAATCTCCATAGGTTCTAGGATGAGCTTCTGTCTACCGACTGGACAAGTGTTTTTGTTAGGAACAATCCCGACTTGGCATTTAATGAATTTATGGATAAATTTAAAAATAAATTAGATGATACTATCCCACTTGTTTCTCACAATTATAAGCATAGATCTAAATCCAAACCACATGCACTCCCCGTTAACTCACGCGCTGCTCAAGTCCATTAATAGAAAAAATAGACTATACCGGCAGTATTTGGCTCATCCCACTGCATCACATAAATGGGAATATACTAAGTACAAATATATTTTAACTGACTTTTTGCGAACATCCAAGCGCCAATATTACACTCGTCAATTTGACAAGGAAAAATATAATATTCGCAATACATGGAAGATTATTAACTTTGTCTTAAATAAAAAATTATCTACTGCGATTGTCTCTAGTATTACACATGAATGGAAGATGATCAGGGATCAGGATCAAATCGCTAACCATTTCAACAATTATTTTGTAAACATAGGTCCCAATCTGGCTAAACATATTCCCTCCTCTGGGACTTTATTTACTGATTACCTCGATGAGCCAAACCCTAATTCCTTCTTTTTTTGTGTGTAATTTAATAAGTAATGTTACAAACGGGGCCCAAATTTACAAGCATTGCTTTCATTGGGTACCCCTCTACAGCATCCTTTCTAAAGTGTATTGTAGTATCTTTCAATCATATTTATGTATTTATTATATGTTGTATTATCGTGTGTAATTATTATGCTGTAGAAAATGAAATAAATCTTGAAGACAGAATGAACAAGGACTTTTAACTGTTTCAGAGACATATTTACAGGTGAAGTGAAGTTTTAGTATAGAAAGAATCTGAAGATGCCATAAATGACAGAAAGACTGGAAGTTTAAATATACCAGTTCCTTCTAACAATGGCCCAAATACTTAAACAGGCTTACTCCAAAAAATCTGGGTATTGTACACCCATTTCTCCACCCACCCAACCTTTCAACATACATCAACACAACTGTCAACCAAGCGTTAACTGAACTGTCCGTATAGCTTTTCACACAGGCGTGTCACTAACCGTCTACATCCGTATACTCAACCAACCAATCAACCAACAGACAACTCAACAGGCCACCTAGGGTGAGTTTAACGGTCTGAATCACAGTGGACAGTGCTTTGGATGAACTGTCAACCGCAACCGCCAACCGAATTAACTGTCCAATAAATCCTGAATACAAAATCTTACCAAATAACCGTCCATCCAACCGTCGAGATCCCAAAAAATCACCAAACAGTCCATTTATATCAAACCGCATGACCGTACAAACAACCAATCATAACAAAACGCCCACTGTCCATCCAACTGTCATTGAGACTGTCAAAAATCTCTCCACCCTGCCGCACTTTTGATTGCCCCAACCTGTCCAACAAACCGTTCTTTAGACCTTCCAACCAAAAGGCTGTTCAGACAACCGACCAACCGTGAAAATCAGTTGTCGGCCAAACTGGGTGGGCATTAGAATGGACGGTTGTTAAACGGTTGGCTGGACGGTCAGATGGACAAGTTGCAGCCGTCTATTGAACCATGATTCATTCCTTTTTTCAACCCAACCGTCAAGTGAACTTTCCAAGAACTGTCTGCCCAAACGTCTATTAACGGACCGCCTGACTAACCACCAAACTATTCACCTCACTGGCCACCCAGCTGTCCACCAAAACGCCCATGCAACCATTCGGCCAACTGTCAAGCCAACGTACCACCCAACCATTAGCCAACCATTCAAACAGTTCATCTCTATATCTACAGTTTGTTGGGCAGTCTAAATGACGATTAGTGGGGTGAATGAGGTTGATCGCAAATGTACATTAAAATCTCCAACAACTGTGTGTACAACTGTCTGATCGAACGTCTGACTGTCGACTAATGACAGCAACATTCATCAACTGCCAGCTTACTCTTCACCAAAACGTCTATGCAACCGTCCAACGTACTAGCTGCGACAGTCAACCACCACCCACCCGTTTAACCACTCAAAAGTACAACTGTCCACCTACCTTCATTCAGATAACAGCCCGAATGACATATGAGCAGTGATCGAGGTGGACAAACCAACGTTAACAGCAACTGTCAACCCACCTGCCCCCCAAACCGTCCATAATGTCCACACAAACATCCAACCGGCTATCCACCAAACCGTTTACCCAACTGCCTGCCCATCTGACCTTGCAACCATCCGTTACATCTAAACGTCCACCCTACTGTCGACCCAAATGTCCTCCAGACTGTCAAAAATATGTCCACTCCAACTTTTCTTCAGACTGCCCGAAACTGTCCAACAAACCTTCCTTTTGAGCGTTAAACCAACTATTCATACCACCGGCCAACCGTTGAAACCAATATTCCACCAAACTTTCCAACAACGTTCACCCAAACGTGTAACCACTTGTCTTCCCAACCGTCCGACGTATAGCCCAATGGACGAGTCTTTGGACATGTCGTTGGACGATCTAAATGACGGTTGGGTGGCCATTAGGGTAGACAGTCAGAGGGACAGTTGCAACCATCTACCAAACAAAAGATTATCTTAATTGTAAACCGAACTGTCTAATCGAGATCTGTCCACTAAAAACGTCTAACTAACCGACCAAGTCAGGCCAACTCACCAAACCGGCCACCCATCTAACTTCACCAAATCTTCCACGCAACCTTCCACTCAACAAAGTACCAAACCGTTAAAAAGCAAGCCAACAGTCCACGTATCTACAGTTTGTTAGACAGTCTAAATGACGATTGGATGGAAAGTGGTGTAGACAAATAAAAGTTCTTTCAAATGTCAACCGATTCGTTCAGTACCAAACTGTCCATACTGTTTATCCGACCGGATCCTAACTTCCCACCTACCATCAGGTGATTTATTGCACATGACTGTTGGGTGCACAGTGGGGCGGATGCATCGTGCAGTAAGGTTATACCCAAATCTTCATTCAACTGTCCACTGAAGCTTTAACAACTGTCCGCATAAACGTGTAATGTATCGTCTATCAACTAACTGTCCATTGTCATTCAGCCCGTCCAACCAACTGTTGGTAGGTGGACATTTAAGTTCAATAAGAGGTGGAACAGTTGGTTGAGTGGTTGACTAGACGGATGTAGACAATCAGTTTGTGTGGACATTTACTGGGCAGTTTGCTAGACAGGTGTGTTGGATTGACGAACCAATTAAGGTTCATTGCAACAGTCAACCTAACCGTCCATCGAACTGCCCTATTAAACAATCCAAAATCTTACCAAATAACCATCAAATCGAATTGACGACTCAAACATCCACCAAACTGCCTCTTTGCCAAACCGGAGGACCATACAAACACCCGTCATATCCAAACTTCCACCTCACAGTCAATCTAACCGTCCTTGAGACTATCAGAAAAATTGTCCACCCTGCCGTACTTTATCAGACTGCCCTAAAACCGTCCAACCAACTGTTCCAACAACCCACCAAACGTGAAAAGCAGCTGCCAGGCAAAACTGTCTAAGATCTATTCACTTCAACGTCTAACCAACCGGACAAATCAGACTAACTTAACCGTCCACTAAACCATTCACCAAGCCCACCACCTAACGGTCCACCAAACCATCTGCAACCACCCAACCGTCAACCACCAACCAAAAGTCCACTTACCTGCAGTTTTCTAGGCAGTCCGAGTGAGTATTGGGTGGACAGTGGTGTGAAAAAAATCAAGGTTCTTCCAAACTGTCAACCCAACCGTCCACTAAACCGACCACACAACTATTGACCCAACGGTTTAACTAACCGTAACCTGACTGCCCACCTACTAACAGTCGGTTGGAAGGTCTGTATGGCGGTTGGGGTTGGAGAGTAGGGTCGATGCAGTAAGGTTATACCCAACTCTCCACCCAACTGTCCACAGAACCTCGACAACTGTCCACACAAACGTCTTACCAATCATGTAATAGTCAACCCATCTATCTGCCAAAACACTTATACTTAGAACCCACTGAACTGTCCACAAAAATCTTCCTAACCGTCCGACTAACTGTCGACACCTGACCGTCCTGCCAACCGCCCATCCAATCGTTAAACCAAGCAACAACTCAACAGTTCATTTACCTGCATTTGGTCTTAATGGCGGCAGACAGTGGATTGGACGAACTAAAATTCATCGCAACTGTCAACGCACCTTTTGACCGAAGTATCTGTCCACTTAAACATCTAGCGAATGGTCAACGCACCAAATTGTCCGACTAACTGTAAACCCATCCTCAATCGTCCATGTGACTGTGTCACCATAAACATCCACCCCACTTTCCACTCTAACGGCCTTTCAGACGGTCAACAAATTTGTCCATCTAGCTAAACTGTCCCCAAACTGCCCAAGAAACCGTTTTAGAACGTTAAACAACTGTTCGTACAACAGGTAAAACCATTCCAACAACTGTCTAAAAACTCTCTAGCAACTGCCCACCCAAAAAGCTCACCAACTGTCCACCCAACCAGTCGCCAAACTGTCCAACACTCCAAACGACGGTTCTTTGGAGATGTTGTCGGACGGTCTGAATAACGGTTCAGTGGGTATTAGGGTGGACCGTTAGATGGACGATTCCAACGGTTTATCAAACCAAAGTACTCATAATTTGTTCACCCAACTGTACAAGATCTGTCCACTCAAACGTTAACTAATGGACTAAGTCAGGTCATCTATCCGTCTATCAAACCATTCACCATACTGGCCACCTATAACTCCGTCAATTGGTTCGCATGACCGTACACCCAACAAACAACCCAACTGTCAACCACCAACTCAATACATGTAGTCCACCTACCAACAGTTTCATGGACAGTTTGAATGACTATTGAGTGTACATTATACACAGAGGTGTGGACTTATTAAGGTTTTTCCAAACTGTCAACCCAACCGTCCAACAAGCCGTCAACCCAACTATTCACCTAGCCGTATATCTAACCGGAATCTCATTGTCCATGTGCCAGCTGTCGGTTGGAAGGTCTGTATGACGGTTGGGTGGACAGCAGGTCGATGCAGCAAGGTTATACCCAAAAGTCCACTCAACCGTCCGCGTCTTACTAACCGTTTTACAGTCAACTCATCAATCTGCCAAACAGCCACATAACTACCCAGTGATGAACTCTCAACGAAATGAAACTAACCGTCGACACTTAACGTCTCGCCAAACAGCCATCCAATCGTTTAACCAACCTACAACTCACCTCTCCACTTCCCTACAGTTGGTTGGACGGTCTTTGGCAGAGGATAGTGGGTTGGACAGACCAAGATTCATTGCAACTGTCCATCCACCGCAATGTCCAGTTAAATGCCCACTTAAACATCCAGCCGACTGACCAGACAATGGTCCACCCAACAATCCACCAAGTTGTCCACGTAATCCACTCCGACCGGCTATGTCACCGTCTAAATATCTGTTACAATAACCGTCCACCTACTTTCCACCCAGCAGTCTTTTAGACCGCCCCCAAACTGTCCAACACGCTGTTTTGGAATTTTATGCCGACTTCTCACACCACTGGCTAACCGTGGAACCAACTGTCCGCCAAACTGTCCAGCACTGTCTATCCATACGTCCAATTACCAACTGTCCAGCCAGCCGTCCAAGGATCTGCTCAACAGTCCAAAGGACGGTTCTTTGGAAATGTTAGACAGTCTGAATCAGATTGGGTGGGCATTGGGGCAGACATTAGATGGACAGTTGCAACTGCCTATTAAACCAAGGTTCATCACGAATGTTAACCCAACTGTCCATCATGACGTCTAACCAACCATCCATGTAACCAAACAACCAAGTGTCACAGTTGGACATTTGCATGGTGGTTGTCCCCTTTTATTGCACCAAGGCTCATCCCAATTTTAACCCAACCGTCGAAGAATCGTGGAGTCAAACAGTGGGCTGGTGATGAAGCAAGGTTCATCGCACCTGTCAACCGAACTATCTACTGAACTGTCCAACAACCGTCCACACAAACATCACCGACGTCCTATCAACCGTCTCGACCATCCGCCCAAACATCCACCCAGCTATCCAGCTGTCCACGAAAAGTTTCACCAACCGTTCAACTAACTGTCGACATCCAAGTGTCCAGCCAACTACCCTCGAACCGTTTAACAAGCCAATCGCTCAACAGTTCATTTAACGACAGTTGGTTTGACGGCAGATTAACGAGTGGACAGTGGGTTGGACGAACCAACGTTCGTCGCACCTGTCAACCCAACCATCCACCGAACAGTCCAACAAACAGCCACTCAGTAATCAAGCCCACTGTCCAATCATCAATCCAACTGTCAAGTTCGCAATTTCCACCACGCTATCAACAAAACCCTTTGCCACACTGTTTATCCGACTGTGAACCATCCGTTTCAACCAACCGTCCACATCACTGTAGACACAAACTTCTTCAGACCGTCAATCTGTCCACCCAGCCGTTCTTCAGACTGAGACTAAACTGTCCAGCAAACTGTTCTTTTGACCTTCCAACCAACTTTTCACACAACCGGCCAACCGTTGAAACCAATCTTCGACAATATTGTCCAGCAACGTCCACCCAAACGTCTAACATTTGTATGCCCACCGTTCAACCCAACTGTTAATTAGTTATGTTTAAATGTTGTTGAGAGTCTGAATGAGGGCTGGGTGGGGATTAGGGTGGACGGCTTTACGCGGTTGGTTGGACAATAAGATGAACTCTTGAAACCATTGGTTAAACCAAGGTTTACGGCAACTGTTCTCTGTATTGTCCATCCAAACCTTTACCCAACCGCCCAAAGTCCGTTCGCCCAACCACCCAACTAACGGTCGTCAAACTTTCCAGTTAACCATCAGACCAACCATCCATTTAAGCGTACAACTAACTATCACAGCTGGATGTTTGGATGGAAGTTGGTACTATTTATTACACCAAGGTTCATACCAATTGTCAATCAAACTGTCCAATAACTGTCCACCCAAATGTTGGGTCGTCCAACTAACTGTCCAAATAACCATCCACCCAACCGACCACTGAACCGTCCACACAGCCGTTCACTCAACCTTTAATCAAACATTAACCCAGTGGTCCACCACAGTTTAACAGAAAGTCCAAATGACGGTTGGTTGAACAGTTGTGTGTATGAACCAAGATTCATCTTAACTGTCAACCTAACTGCCCACTGAACTGCCCAACAACTGTCCACTCAAACGTCTAACCAGCGGCCAACCTAACCGGCCAGCCAACCATTAACCCAAACATCAACACAACTTGCCATCTTACTGGCAACCCAACCGCCGACTTGACCGAATAACTAACCGTCACAACCAGCCGTCTACCACACTGTCCCCCATCCGTGCTTCAGACTGTCCAACAAACTGTTTACCCATCTGCCTGTGTATCGTTATGCCTGTTTATTTGTTTTATCCTTAAAATCGAAATGAATGAAATATAATACCTTTCATTATGTAGTCGCTATTACATTCGACCTATATATTTCCTTCTGATGCCGACAGGTGTACATTAATATACTGGAATCAATAGAAAAATTTTCCATTTTTGTTTCATGTACTTAGCTTGCATCGCGGTCCTCAGAATATTTTCCTTATTTCCCTGGCCAGGTTCCACACCTCGGGTCCTAAGGGTCATATCAGAAACCATGCTGTACGTTTTGTCGCTTGCAAAAACTCCTCCCCTTTCCAGCAATCTTTTTCAGAGCTGTGCAGTTGCACTCCGGCGTGATGAAGTCAGCCACACTAATAAGTGTGTCCTCGGTCTAGATCTTTAAAAGCTATGTCACTGTACACATTTGCTGCGTTCTTCAGCCATCTGCGTGCGACTCTCTGTCTACTTTTTAAGTTTGGCATCGCCCTTTTGCATTTCTCAGCTTCTTAGGTTTATTCGGTTCCTCAAGACTAAAGGCAGGCTGGCTATTTCAGCAAGTTAACTTCTTTATTACAACTCCTGAAAAATTCAGCAATTCTGGCCGTGTCAACAATGAAAAGTGACTTGGGACAGACTATAAGGCTGGATGACCTGCAGCCCCGATCTGGGATGGACTCGACCATAAAACTGCTCTCAGGCCACACCGTCTGCACGTGTCTTTCCTGATCATGGCGCAACCTCTCATTGCTGATATTGGCTAAGGAGTATCAAAGATGAGCAGATCTTATATTTAAATTAAAAGCAAACAGTCTTTAGAAAGATCACAAATTTGGTAGGCAGACGTGATTTAGATTTTAAGTTTAGTTTCAAGTTAAAAAGCACAAAATAAATTAAATTCAAAAGAAAGTAAAAGAAAGCATCTGAATATACTGAATCTTATTGTTTATGAATTAAACAGATAATCTGTGATCCCTTATCACCTCTATTATACTATCCCTTGGTTTAAATGTACTTGAAATGTTATTTTAGGGATAGCCCTTCATAATACTCATGGGCGTTCCCCATCCCCCATTTCCCCAATTTATACACACATGAACTGCTCATAATGATTCATTTCGCTTTGGGCAATCCATGGACCTGACGTCATATCTGTATTTGATGTTTTTTTGACTTGTTATGCTGATTGTTTTTCCAGAACATATATAAATAAATATATTATCACTGAAGGCTTACTCAGTGTCGGTATGAGTGCAGCAGTTTCCAGATCTAACTCTCGTCTTCATTTTCCCCATCTCCAGCCCCACCGGAAGACCGACGCCGAGGTGATTCAAACCCAAGGGTAACATGCCTGTTTTTGTGTAAACCAAACGAATCATATGAATTACCTACCGGATCGTCACAAAAGACATTAACACTGACAATTTTTACGCCATGTATGCTCTCGATAATCTGAACCTGCTCCTCTTTACAAAAAAATTATCCATGCGTCTTATTCAACATTACGCCACCGTTATCTACCGTGGTGGGTCCATTAGATACAATGTAATTCTCCGCTCTCTTACAGGAACAGGGCTCCCAAAATACACTATCCCCCTTTTTGGGCGACTTTCACTCTTTTTGAATGGATTGATGAGAGACTCACCCCTTTAAAGAGTTCTAACTCTTTTGTCTTTAGACGTTAAATACATGATATTTTTTCCAATGAGAAAATAACCACAACAGACCTCATGAATAAATGTAACAAAACAAATAAATGTAACGCCTAATATTATGCTGTTGTATTTCTAGAAGATCTCTTGGGGAAAAACTTTTGAAAGACACTTACCTGAGAGAAATTCCAGAAGAAGGCTTGTTCTCGTTTGAGATCGTGGAAGATTTATCGTCCAGTGCATGACAAAACCAGTCCAACATTGAAATGAACGTTATCTTCCATGGCTGGCTGTTGCACGTTCCATATCGTTCCACTGCCCGATTTGTTAGCGTACACATGCGCTTTATAGAATGCTTTTGTTTGATTCAAAGTTTTTTCCATGGAAATTTATTCGACTCTATGACATTTCGGTTCCAACTTTTGTTTCGTCATAAACTACGGCTTTACGTCAAAAGGAACAGCTGAACGCACAGTATTAGCCTAGCAACTTGCATATAATCAACACTTCATACAAGTTGAATGCGTCACAAACAGGACGCACGACAACCTCCATTCCATAGGCTGCGTGCGCGTTCACTTGTTAGATCGCTTAAGGTATCGTCGAGAACCAACATGACGCGGCAAGATCGCACCCATGGGAACGAGGTTAGACGCACGCGACTCATAACATCAATGTACTCTCAAGATCGGACTTATTAGTGCGGCTGTATGGATACTCACCACTGATCTCCGTAACAAAATGGAGATCCGTGATACTCACACGCACTGATCATGATGTTTGAGCTCGCGTGCTTTGTTCTCGATTGACCTCGCCTTTTTGAAACACCGAAGACACCGAAGTTGTTCATTCATTGATTTCCATTATAATGTAAAAACAATGACTCATTTGGGTCTTAATACTAAGACACAAAAACACGTTTATCGATCGGGGGATTACATTTTCTGAAGACCGAAACACTTTTATTTCTAAAACGTGCTTAACTTAACAGTTACATGTTCAAAATTAACTTTAAGATGGGTTTATAATGGCTGTTGGTTTGCACAGTGATAAATGAGCTCGCTCGCAGTTTAAGTTTTCTAATAACAAACTGATTTAGTTTGTGTTAATTTGACTGGCGGTCACAAAATGATTCTTCAGGCCATTACATAAAAACTACGAAATTGAGAAAAATGCTTATTACTTAAAAAACTTTTATTTTATACTTCGCATGCATCTGAGAATTGATAATGAGGTACTAAGAGAAATTCTGGACGGGAGAAAAATGTTAATTAATTGTGTTTGACTGGTTAACTTCCCCCAAGGATAAAATGCATGGCTTCTTTGTCATCCAGTCCCACGATGCAACGAGAAAGTTTAAACGCTGTATTTGAAGACCGTTTCGGATTTTTTGAAACAATGAGTACCCATACGTAACAAAGAAACACCGTAAAAATGTACAGCAAAATGCTACTGAAGCACCGCGAACGCAGAGTCTAGCGTACGTGTTGCCCTGGAACTGTCATACATAGATATAACGGATAGATAGCTTAATTTAATATAGCTCTATGTTTCTGCCTGCATAGTCTAGTATTGGCTGACGACCTTACCATCAGATAGTTGATACGAGTGCACATTGATTTTGCAATCTTTCCCATTCAAAAATAGAGAGGAGAAATCAACAACCCGAGAAACGTATTATCGAATCTAATACAGTATGTACTCAATTAAAGTTTAAGACACGACAACATGTGGGCCTGTGATTTTTGCGTGAGGCGACAGGTAAACGAAATTACTTCACTCGGGGGAAAAACAAACAAACAAACAAACAAACAAACAGAACGGTTCATGTGAAGACTGTGAGGCCGGCTTCAACTGAGCGACGATTATTTATGAAGCTGTATGACCATGGACTTGAATAGTGGGCGCACGAGTCCCCGTTTAGGAGATTCGTCGTGGTAGCCAGAGTACGCCCATTGCCATCATCAAGGACTCGTACTCGGCCAACAGTAGCAAAGATAAATCACCCATTCTCGTCCAAAAACACTATGGAGAAAGAAACCGCAATTTTATATAGTAAAATTGATCTGGTAGCAAAACACTGAGTGACTCGCCAACAGCCCAAATAATGCCGAGTGAAGGCCTCAAAATTTCAAAATAAATATTCACTAAGATTTTGTGCAAAGAAAGATATGAAAATTGTTAAGTGAAGAATTGACATAATACGACTATCTTGGACGTGATATTTGACCAAAATAAACCAAGCTTCGGGAATCAGACGAAAAATGCACAAACAGTGTGCACAAAGAGGATTCAATCCACCCCAAACTGCCTGGTAAAAACCCTATTCTACGTGTCCATAGTGACAGCAATAGCACAGAAGCGAATCTTGGACTCTGAGCAAAGAAAATGTGAAGAGACAGTGACGTCAAACTAACCCACTAAATGTGGAAAGAACGATGGCTGATGGTTATGGTAGAGGGAAAGACATACAACAGTGAATGATTTCAAGCTGACAGCATCAGGAAGGTTGGAGATCGGCTCGACACCCCCACAAGAAAAAAGGCAGAGTGGTGCCAACTTACGATAGAATGGCAGCCACTACATGATAAAAGGAAAAAAGGGGGAGTCTATACAAGAGACGGACTAGTAACGGAAACGTTGGCGTAGCAAATACATCATAACACTATGGAGAAATGACGTGGTTTGTCGAAGGCTTGTCCAATTAGAGGCCAGGACAAAATCGCTGATAGTGGGGTGGAAACTTCTGTAAAAATGTCTGTCCAAATTTTTCTTTCGTATGCATGTATAAAACATCCTTTATTACCCCTCTTTTCTAAAATGCTGGTGCTTTCCAAAATATTAATATAATAACAGGAATAAAATGAAATAAAATGAACATAAAAACTGGCAATTTGTCTTTAGGGGCAAAAAGCTCCTCTGCCGCCCCTCCCCCGTTGGTGATGGCACTGAAACAAATGTGTTGTGAATCTCGAATATCAAGATAAGAATTGATAGAATGTACATTCGGTTTGCAGTTCTGACATGCATATCTCCGACGTCTGGATGTCACACTTTGCGCGTATGCGGCTAAGCGTCTTCAAATAGAATGTTTAACGGGGCGGAAAAGAATCAACTCCACGGGGTAGAAAGACCAGTTGTAGGCCTGTAGAAATAGAAGTGGGCTTTATTGCTATCACGATAAGCACATGGTGTCTTTAAAGTATTACTGTTCAAGCTGCTTTATAAATCCGCGAACACATCGGTACTTTTGACGACAGGACGCGTTTAAGTTTAGTTTGAGTTTTTAACCTGTCTTCCCCACCGTCCAACAAACTGTCCAAGGTCCCAAGGTTGGTTCTTTGGAAATGATGTTAGACGGTTTGAATGACAGTTGGATGGGCATTTGGGTGGACAATCAGAGGAGAAGTTGCAACCGTCTATTAAACCAAGGTTCAACTCAACTGTCGACCAATTGTCCAAGATCTGTCCACTCAAACGTCTAACCAACCAGCCAAGTCGGAAAAACTAACCGTCTACCAAACCACTCACCAAACAGGCAACATAACAGCCCACCAAATCGTCCGTGCAACCGTTTACACACCCAGTCACCGAACCATCAAGCACCAAGACTGCCTACAGGTTGTTCGACAATCTGAATGACTGTTGGTTGGACAGTCTGTGGACCCAACTGTCTAGTTCGGAGCCGTCCACCCAGCTACTCACCCCACCGTTAAACTAACCAGAACCTGACTGTCCACCTACCAACAGTCAGTGTGGACAAATCGAGGTTCTTTCCATCTGTGTACCCAACTGTCCAGTGCGGAGCCGTCCACCCAACTACTCACCCCACCGTTTAACTAAACAGAACATGGCTGTCAACCTACCAACAGTCAGTGTGGACAAATCAAGGTTCTTTCCATCTGTGGACCCAACTGTCCAGTGCGGAGCCGTCCACCCAACTACTCACCCCACCGTTCAACTAACCAGACCCTGACTGTCCACCTACCAACAGTCAGTTTTAAAGTCTGCATGACGCTTGGGTGGACTGTTGGGTGGGTGCAGCAAGGTTATACCCAACTGTTCACAGAACATGCAACAACTGTCAGCACATTTAATTGTCTTACTAACAGTCACAATCGACCTGTCCATCCACCCACACATCCACGAAAAGTCTTCCCAACTGTCCAACCAACTGTCGACACCTAATCGTTCATCCAACCACGTATCCAATCGTTTAACCAACCAACACAATTGCTCGCCTAACTACAGTTGGTTGTACGGTCTTAATGACGTTGGATAGTGGGTTGGACGAACCAAGGGTCATCGCAGCTGTCAACCCACGTGTCCATGTAAATGTCCAACAAATAACCTCTTAAAAATCTAGCACTTTTAATCCAATTGTCCACACGAACTTCAACCAAATTGTCCATCCTAATCGTTTACCCATTCCGATGTGACTGTGTAACAATCTGTCGTAATAACCGTTAAACCAATTTGCCAACCAACCGTCTTTCAGACTGTCAACAAATTTGTCAACCCAGTCGTCCGTCACACTGCCCTCAAATTGTCCAACAGTTTTACTACTGTTCACACACCTAGCCAATCGTGGAACCAACTGTTCGACAAGCTCTCCAACGCCATTGACCCAAACGTCTTACCAACTGTCCACCAAGCGGTTAAAGAAACTGTCCAACTGTCCATAGGACGGGTTTTTTTTGGAAATGTTGTTGGACAGTCTGAATGACAGTTGGGTGGGCTTTAGGTTGGACACTTTGATGGTCTATTAAACCAAGGTTCCCTCCAGTTGTCGACCAAACCGTCCTGTTAACTACATGTATATGACAACGGTCCACCCAACCGTCAACCAACGTCCAATGACCGTCCATTCAACCATCTGACTAACCGATTACCAAACTATTTATGTAACTGAACAACCGTCACAGTTGGACATTCATGGAGGTTGTCACCAATTATTGCACCAAGGGTCATCCCAATTGTTAACTCAACTGTCTTAGAACCGTCCAGTCATAGGCTTAACCAACCATCCAACTAACCATCCACAAATCCATTCACGTACTGGCGGCCGAACCGTCCACCAAACCGTCCACTCAACCATCCACCCAATGTCCCTCCGACCGTGCAACCATAGGTTGCAACCAACTATCCACCCCGTTGTCCACCCGACCTTCTTTAGACTGTCAAAAAGTTGTCCGCCCAGCCTTCCTTCAGGCTGCCCCTAAACTGTTCAACAAACCGTTATTTATACCGTTAAACCAACTTGTCATATAATCGCCCCAGCCAAAAGTCCACCAAACTGTCCCGCAAAGTCTATCCAAACGTCTAACCAATTATTGTCTGCCTAACTGTCCACCAAATTGTCCGACTGGTTTTATCGAAATTTTGTTTGACGGTCTGAATGACGGTTGGGTGGGGATTAGGCTGGACGGCTTTTGCACAATTGGTGGGACAGTAAGATGAGGTTTAATGCAACTGTTCTCTGAACTGTACTTCCAAACATCCAACCAACCGTCAACGACCGTCCACCCAACCGCTCAATTAACCAGTCATCAAACTATCCAGCCAATCGTCAACACAACCATTCATTTTACTGTACAACTAACTGTCACAGTTGGACATTTACATGGAGGTTGTCACCATTGATTACACCAAGTTTCATCCCAATTGTCAATCAAACTGTCCCAAGAACTGTCCACTCAAACATTTGACCGTCCCACTAACCGTTCAACTAACCATTCATCTAACTGACTACCCAACTGTCCATCCTACCGTCCACACAGTTGTCCACTGAACCGGCCGTTAACCACACATTTACCCATTGGTCCAACACAGTTTGTCAGTAAGTCGAAATGACGGTTGGTTGAACAGTGGTGTGGATGAACCAAGATTCATCCCAACTGGCCACCAAACCGTCCACTGAACTGTCCAACCAATTGCCTACACAAATATCTAACCAATCACCTATCTAACCGACCAGGCAACTGTTCACCCAAGAATCCACCTAACTGGCAAGTTTGCTCTCCTCCCAACCGTCCATTTGACTGTATAACGAACTGTCTCAACCAACCGTTTACACCACTACCCCTAACCGTCCTTCAAACTGTCCAACAAACTGTTAACCTATCTGCCTTCAGTCTAACAAACTGTTTAACAAATAAACCTTTAAACCACATTTCCAATCAACTGGCCAACCAATTGTGGAAACCACTTGTCAACCCGACCCTCCACCCCACTGTTCAACAAATGTCCATCCAAATGTCTAACCAACCATCCAACTACAAGCAACAAAGACAAAACTGTCAATCAAACAGCCCATTCAACTATGCAATGAACTTTCCAACCACTCGTCGCAACGAACTGTTTGACCAACAGTCCATCAAAGTGCCAAACCAATGTCTACCCAAACGTCAACACATGCAACCGTCAGCCTATCACCAGATCACTGAACCAACCTATGTCCACTTATCTGCAGCTGGTAAGACGGTTCCAAATGATGGTAGGTTGGACCGTGACGAACCATTGTTCACAAACTGTACCGTCTAACGAACTGTCCAACGACTGTCAATACAAACGTCCCCCAACGGCCCACTTATGTCCATCTAACCATCGCAACTAACCGTCCACCCACTGTCCACTCAACCGTCATTCAGACTGTCCAATAAACCGTCAGTCAGACCATTTACCAAGCTTCTCACCCAACTGTCCTTCAGACTGTCCAACAAACTGTTGAACCAACTGTCCACCCAAATGACCAACCAAATGTCTAACCAATTGTCCCCCAGACCGTGAAAAGTCCGAGCCAATTGACCAATGCACTGACTGGCCAACCAACCAAGCAGAACTTCAGTGTAAACAAACTCGGAAGATTGAGGGGAGACAATGTAACTCTGACCTTTTTGACTAATATAAACGAATATAAACGTGACGGTTCACTGGACATTTTCCGATGGCTCCCGTATGATGGACAAGTATAATAATATGGAATCTCTATTACTGTTTTGTCGTCATTACATTCGACCTGCATAATGAAATGAAGTTTCCTCTGATGTTGACAGGTGTACATTAATATACTGGAAACAATGGAAAAACTCCCCATATTTCTTTGATAGGCTTAGTTTTTCCATTTTACCCTCATTGTTCCAGTCGGATTCCACGCCTCGGGTTCCGCGCCTCGCATCAGAAACCACGCTGTACGTTGTGACATGTCTAGTGCACATTGCACAGGACACAGACGATGATTGCGCGACCCTGTGCGACATGCGAATATGCAAATAAAAACCTTGTCAGACTGGATTGTAATAGGTTTACCTTTATTGTAGAGCTTCCAAAGTAACGTTCGTTGTACACAGTAGATTAACTCACGTTGCGGCGTTTTTCAGCCATCTGCATGCAACTCTCGTCTACTCTTCTAGTTTGGCATCGCCTTGCCTTCCTGAGCTTCTTACCTTTATTTAGTTTTCTTACGAGATATAGTTTCGCAAAGTTCGTTTGTTCGAGATGTATAATCCAGTTCGTTCCCGTAAGATCTGTAGATAGGAAAGTTGTTTTTATTTTTGGACACCCGTCGTTTTAAAGATGTTATCGATATTATTATATTTTTAGTAATTTTTCAAAGTTCGTTTTTATGAATTACATATTTTGGAATTTCGCTTTGTGAGAAATAAATTTAAAACCGACAATGTATACCTCCTGAAAATTAACTTGTAAAATATGTCATAAAAAGCAAACCTCATCAAAACATGTGTCTCGTTATAAGGATTTGTTAAAAGAATAGAAACAATATTGATAAATACTGATCTCATCGTCTCGATCAAACGAACTTTGGAAAAAAATATATCTAATAAAACGAAGTCGGGAAAAAATATATCTCCTTAATTGAAGCGAACTTCGAAAAACATAAACTACACTTTTTGAAAAAAAAACCTGATGGAACTACAAGGCTTTCGTTGGATTGACCTTTAAGGCTGGTTCACACTTTGCACAATAGCAAACGCGAATGCAAATTTGTAACGTCAGATCAATTATTAGCGTTGCGAATTCGTTAAAGTTAAAAATATTTTAATGATCGAGTTGAAATGAAGTGACCATCAAAAATCTCTCTGCTGTCCTACGGATTTTCCCCAAAATGTCCAACAAATTGATCTTCAGATTATCCAACCAACTGAAAACACAACCTGCCAACAGTCTGAATAATGATTGTGTAGGTAATTGGTTGGACGGCCCTTAGGCAGTTGTTTAGACAATCTGATGGAAAGTTGCAACCGTCTATTAAACCAAGATTCATCGGAACCTTACACATTACCTTTCAACTAACAATCCAGCAAACCATTCACTTAACCAGCGACTTAGCAGTTCATAAAACTGTCCAAGCAACCATCCACCCACCCAACTGTTTAAGCAACAAAGTGAATGTCAAAGCGAACACCAAACAGTTAACCAACCGTCTAAGCAATCTAAAAGCAGTTGATTGGACGGTATTAATGGCAGGCGGGCAGTGGAGTGGGCAAGCTAAGGTTAATAGACTTTCAACCCAACTGTCCACCGAACCCTCCACCCAACTGCTCAGCCAAGCATTTAAGCAACCACAACTTTACCGTCCACCTAATAACAACTGGTTGACAGTCTGCATGACAGTTGGGTGAACAGAGGGCTGGTGAACAAGGGTTAAATCCAACTATCAACCCAACTGTACGCCAAACTAATGTTTTCACAAACGCGTTACAAAGCGCCTGACTGACGTCTACCCACTGAACTGTCGGCACACAGTCTACCCAACTGTCTAACTGTCGACACCTAGTCGTCCAGCTAACCAACCACACAACCGTTCAACCTTGCAACAGCTCAGACATCCACCTACCTAAAGTTTGTTGAACGATCTGAATGACGGGTGGGCAGTAGGGTTAACGAAGCAATGTTCATCACAACTGTCAAAAACCTGTCCACTGATGAGCTGACCACAAAACGTCCGCACAGACATCCAACTTCCACCTAAACGTTTACCCAACCGTTAATCTCACCGTTCAACTATACGTTTGAACAAACCGTTCACCCCATCGTCTACCCAACCGTCCTCCAAACTGTCAAAAAATCTGTCCACCCAACCATTCTTCAGACTGCCCCCTAAACTGTCTAATAAACCGTTCTTTAGACCGTCCAACCGACTGTTCACACAACCTGTCCACCGTGAAACAAACTCTCCGCCAAAATGTCCACCAACGTCCACCCAAGAGTTTTACTACCTGTCTGCGCCAACCGTCCTTCAAGCAGTACAAAACGCAGTTCTCTAATAACATTGTTTTACCATCCGGTACAACAGCTGGGTGGGCATTAGGGTGGGCAATTAGATGGACTGTGGCTTAGGTTTATTGAATTAAGGTTCATCCCTATTGTCGACTCAACTGTCCTAGATCCGTCCTCTACAACGTCTAACCAACCGGCCAAGTCGGCCCGACTAACTGTCAACCAAACCATTCACCAAATCGGCCACCTAACAGTCCACAAAAATAATCGTCTGCCGAACTCACCACTCGACAAACATCCCTTACCGTCACCTACTAACCCGACGGTTCTCTTACCCACAGTTTGTTGGACAGTCTGACTGTTGGGTGAACATCGCTGTTCATCCCAAGCCAACCGTCCAAGACAGTCAAACCGTCAACAGAGTCATCTATCCAACCAGCACCGTTAATATCAACCGAGCAGTCCACGTATTGGACAGTCTGAATGACGATCGGGTAGGCAGTGGGATGGACAAAACATGGTTCTTCCCACTGTCACCCAACTGTCCACCGAACCGTCTACTGAACCGGAACGCAACTGTCCACCTACTAACAGTTGGTTTATTTAAAGGTTTATTTCAACTTTCACCGGACTGTCCAACAACTGTCCGCACAAACGTCTCACCAACCGTCGGACCATCCACCGAAAAAAAAAAAACTGTCACAGTTTAGATGGAGGCTGTCACCATTTATTACACCAACGTTCATCTATTGTCAGCCAAACTGTCGAAGAACTGTCTATCCAAACTCCTCATCTTTCAACTAACCCTCCACCCAACCGACCATCCAACTGCCCACCCTACCGCAGTGTTGTAGCCGAGACATCGCAAGACCAGACACAAGACTATGCACAAGACCAGACACAAGACCAGACACAAGACCAGACACAAGACCAGACACAAGACCATGCACAAGACCAGACACAAGACCAGACACAAGACCAGACACAAGACCACACACAAGACCACACACAAGCAACAGTGTGAACAATGACAAAGGAATTCTTTTGTTGCAGTTCATTTGAATAGCTTGTGACTGGAATTCAGATCGGAGGTCTTGTGTTGGTCCTGCGTGGTCTTGTGAAGGTCTTAATTGGTCTCGACTACAACACTGCCCTACCGTCCAAACAGGCGTCCACCCAACTGTTAACCAAACATTCAACCAGTAGTCCACCACAGTTTGACAGAAAGTCCAAATGACGTTTGGGTGGAGAGTGGTGTGGATGAACCAAGATTCATCCTAACCGGCCATCCAATCTTCCATGAACTGCCCAGTAACTGTTCACGTAAACGTCTAACCAATCGCCCATCTAACCGACCAGCCAACCACAGACCCAAATATTCATTGCCCATCTTGCCGTCTACCCAACCGTTGATTTGACCGTATAACCAACTGTCGCACCAACCGTCTGCCCTACTGTCCCCCGTCTGTAAGACTGTCCAACAAACTGTTTACCCAGCAGCTGCTTTCAGCCAAACAAATCGTGTGACAAATGAATCTTTAAACCGTTAAACCGACTTTCCACTCAACCGGCCGACCAATCCTGACAACCAAATGTCCACCCTCCACTCACCCCCTTGTTCCGACAAATGTCCAACCAAATGTGTCCAACCATTATATGCAACCGTCCACCAAACTTTCAACTTGGCTTTCCACCTTACCACCTAGTCAACAATCCAGCGAACCTTTAATCCAGCCATAACAACTGTCTGTAACCGAACTGTAACCGTCCAAACTTTCCAACAACTGTCTACCCAAACGTCTATCCATGCAACAGTCCAACCAACCACTCACCCAATCATTCAACCAACCATTAGCCACTTGCCTACAGTTGGTCGGACGGTTCTGAATGACGATAGGTTAACAGTCGGCTGAACCAACCAACATGCACTGCAACTGCCAACTGTACCGTCCACCAACTATCAACACAAATGTGTAGCCAACGGTTCACTTAATTTTCCATCAACATGTAATTGTAGCAAACAACTGTCCACCCACAGTCCACTCAACCGTCCTTCAGACTGTCAAACAAACCGTCAGCAAGACCACGTCACAAGCTGACCAAGCCTGCCCTTCAGACTGTCCAACCAACTGTCCGCCCAAACGGTAAACCAATCGTCCACCGAACCGCTCAACGTCCAGCCAGCCAAATGACAAATCGAGTGACTGACCAAAGAAACAAAATAACTTGAGTGTAATGAAAGATGGAAGACCAAAGAGAAACGCTATAAAACTCTGACCGTTTTAAAACAATATAAATGAATACATGACGGTTCATTTGACATCCCCAATGGCCGCCTTAAATGACGGAAAGCAGGGTGTTGGGTTTTGTTCAGAGCGGATGTCATGGGACATGGGCTACGAACAAAAGGCACCACGGTGCCTGCCGCCATTGGCATGGGCCATTGCAAATGACCACTGGTAGCGTTACCATGGTCACCTACTGGATTCGTCTGTAACTAATTGACAAGCGACCGATTGAGCCACAGAGCGAAACACACAGACTTCTGTTAATGACTTCATATAACAAGCAACTGACTTTCCTCAATCATAAGGTCGGTTCATAATGGGCGCAAAGGTGAACACGAATGCAAAATTGTGACGTAGATAAATTATTCGTGTTGAATTCGCAAACTGTGAACACATTTCAACTCCCGAAATTTTGCTGCAAATGTTTTGTGCTTGCTATCGCGTTCACCTAAAGTATGAACCACCCCAAATGGTCTTAAAGTATGCTGATCTGCAAAAATCCTCATTATAAAAAAAAACCATTCACTGAATTTAAACTGTTAGTTTGAAATCTATATACCAGACATGTATATCAGTTGAATCCTAATCTTTTATTTTGTCGTTATTACATTTCACCCCCATAGTAAAATTAAGTTCCCTCTGATGTTGACAGGTGTGTATTAATTTACTGGAATCAATGGAAACAATTTCCAGCTTTTTGTTGCGTAGGCCTACTTAGCTTGAATTGCGGTTTGCCAAAATTTTCCCTCATATTTGCTCTGGTAGGATTCCATATGTCTCTAATTCGAATTCCTGAGGTGCGTTTCGTCGAAACACTCAGCTTTCTCGCAATCTTTATCAGAGCAGGGCAGTCGCACCCTGTGTGCTGACGTGTCCAGTGCACTTTGAGCAGATCATAGTTGATGATCGAACGACTCTGTTGGCTACAACGTGCGAAAATGCAAAATAAAAAGCTTCAGTCAGCCACGTTGTAGGTTTGCCTTCAGTGCAGAGCTTCCAAAGTGATGATCACTATATACAGTAAATTAAACTCACCTTGCTGTTTTTTTCAGTAATCTTCATGCAACTCTGTCTACTTTTTCAGTGTAGCATCGCCCCTTGCCTTCCTCAGGTTCTTAGCTTTATTCAGGGTCTTCAGGGCGGCTATATACTCTCAGGACCCCCCCCCCCAAAAAAAAACTCGTGGGTAGTGTTGCAGTCGAGTCCAGCACAAGCCCTTTCACGACTTTCTTCACAATTCCTGAAATATTTAGAAATTGCAGCTGGGTCAACAATGAAAAAAAGCTTGGGGCTAAGCTAAAGACTGGATGATTTGTGATGAGCTTGCTGGGACCTGCGATGGACTCGACTATAGCTAATGGGTCTCAGGCGACACCGTTTGCACGCGTCACGCAGCAAGCAATGATGCTAGCCTTGTACCCTGGAGCGATAAGGGTCTCTTGGCATGCCTGGCGTCCGTGCAATGCTTAGGCTAAAGAGGGGGTATCGACGATGAGCGGGTATCATTTCTAAATTAAAAGCAAACTAAAGCCAACTAGCATTTGGCAAAGCCACAAGTTTGGCAAAACAACATAAATTTTTTTAAAAAGTACAAGAAACCAGCTGAATATGACTAACTTTACTCTTTTTTACTTTAATGGCATGTGATCTTTTTAACCTTTTATGTAATGTCTTTTGGTTTTAACCTCAGGGATAACCCTTTATACAGTGATTTCGATTTGAAGCAATCCTCGGGCCTGCCTTTATATCTGTTTTGATGTTTTCTTAATTTGTTATATTTGTTGTTTTTCCCGAAAATATAATACTGAATGGAATATCCCTCTTTCCTTACTTGGTGTCGGTGTGTGTTCAGCAGTTTCCAGGTCCAAGACTCGTTTTCATCGTCTTTGTTCTCAATGCTCGATTTCAGGCCCCGCTGGAAGTCGGCAAAGGGTTGTTTTCAGTCGGTGCAGTGTAAGAGTGAGGGTGGATGTGGATGGGTAGTTCACTGGTGCTCCGAAGATGGTTTGCCCGACGCCAATGCGATTCAAATTTCTGGGCAACTTGTCTGTTTTTCTGTAAACCAATGTGAGTTAACTACTGTCAAGTTTAATATCAAACTGTTTTAGTTCGTATCAAAGAAAATGAAATACCTCCGCCCTCTCAAGGTAAAACGATGTAACTTGAAAATGATCATTTGGAGAAGAACGACTTCAAACTTGAGGCCGTTGCAATTTTTGGATTATGAATGCAATCTTGTTGAAATTTCACAGCCATATCATGAGATGTATTTTCTGGAAATGTGGAAAATTTTATGTTTACACGCCCTAAGATGTCACAATGATTTTTTAAAGAAAATGCATTGAAAAGAAAAGAAATTGCAAAGAAATTCTGCCTTTCATGCAGAATACACACAGTTCATGAGAAACGATGAATCCTCCTTTGCTCCACACAGCTTTTTCATACGTTTCACGGCAAAACGATGTATCTTTGGTTACCTATTTCAGATATGGGACATTTGACTCAGTTACATGCCAGAATAATGTATCTTTTTGAGACTTTCAGTGCATTTTATCTAAAAAGCAACATGACAACCCAGTGGTATGGCATGATTACTTCGTGAAATTTATAATTTGATGTACGTTGGATTTTCCGTAAAATGAGCAAGTCAGACACAATTAATAAAGACTTTTAAAAAACCCTTTTGACATGTAAATGATATACATACTCGCACGTTACAGCAGAGTGTTGTTAAGTGTAGTTGCAGTTATTTCAAGGTTGAATGTCTGTATAACGAAGGCTGCTCATGTTTATCCTCTGAGATTATAACGTACGTTAATTGTAAAGTTCAATCATATCTTCTGACTCTGAGCTTAAGTCATGTGGATTCTTAAAAATGTAGTGAAATAATTATTCTCTTTAGTTACAACCTTATGCCACAGTTAATCAATAATCATATTACATGCATTAACACCTGAGATGAAAACTCATTGCAAAATGTTACGATTTAACGTTAATACCAGATTTTATTAAGACACTGTAAAATAGTTCCAAAATGACGTCATGCCGAGGTTCAAGTCACAAAGACTTTTTACATGTAGTTTAAAACATGTAATGCCAAGGCTGAGCACAAGTCATGTTGCCTGTTAAAGAAAGGCATGGTAAAATCCATTTCAGTTGCAACTCTGTGCCACAGTTGGCATGCATACGTAACAATCGTAACAGCATAAAGTAATGTCAAATTATTTCAGTGAGAGTATGTAACAATGAATCACCCGGTCTGTGTCTGGTCAGAGCAAAAGATAGATCTACATTACTTTTTATGAACATGTTTTATGTGAGCAAAAACTAGTTAAGTTCCATTCAAAGACTACAGCATTTATTTGACCAAAGGAAGAATCTTGAAGATGCACTCTTTTGCCATATTATACACACTGCATTGAATAAAGTACGTGAAGATGTATACACTTTCACCTTACAGATTATCACCATAAACAAGGTATCTTTGATATGGTTGGTTTGATATGGGAAGGTGCTCCGAATTAAAATGAAAAACGGATGTCTGCAGTATGTGTTGTAATTCTCGGTGAAGCTTCTAAGACCAAAACTGCAAACAAGAAATGTGTAACTTGTAGATACAGTGTATTGCTTAAGCACTAACTATACCACAGCAATTGCAACATGAGATACACTCTGCCAAAGGAAATCACAGGAATTACCTCTAAAACGCTTGGGATAACAGGGGGTAACTCGGAAAGGAAATTTTGTATAGTTTTTCATAACATGTCCTCTCCAAAAGCAATAAACAACAACTTTCATCGTTTTGCCTTGGGAGGGCCAACCTTAATAAACTCCAGGAATTAAAAAAAAAGAATATCGTATTTACTCCAACACCGTGAGAATCAGACACCTAGCCAGCTCTATGTTTCCACAGAGATATCGTTTCGATTATAACAAAGTCGAGTTGGGAATATTTTGCTGCAGAGAATTCAATGCTATTATTAAATGAATTTATGACATATCAGTTTGCAATAATGACATATTTTAAGTTTTCAGTTTGCTGGAATTAATGTCCCCATTTTCCTCATCAATTTTCCATTCTGCTACATTTTATGTAGTATTTTATACGCTACTGATACGAAAGCCATACTCTCTAGCGGCAAGAGTGGCAAAATCACTCTCAAACAGAGCGAGTCCCTTATCTGTCCTCTTCAAAAGCGTGAAAATCACTCTCTAAACATTGAAAATCACTCAAAAATAGACTTCTTCGAAGAGTAGTTCCTTCATTCTTTTGGAGCGGTTGTCACCCCTCTCAGAGCGGTTTTCATTCTTATTGGGTGGATTGAAAAGGACTCACCCTGTTTAAGTGAGGTTTTCACTCTTTTGCCTTTATACGTTTCATGCATGGTACCGTGTTTCCCTGAATGTAACAAAAATTTGCCTTTAAATCATTATGCTAATGGAGTTCTAGACGAAGCCAGCCAAACTCAAAAGGTTTCATCACTCCTAGAGAAAAACCGCTGCAGCTTGTCCTTAGGTTGGTATCGCTCCACTGCCCGGTTTGTTAATGTACACTTTCGCCGAATGGCATGCTTTGTTTTATACTCCCACGCAGCACAATTTTCCCAATAAGAAAATAACTGTAACCGACCTCAGATGAAGCCTAAATAAGTGCAACATTAATAGGCCTTTAAACTGTTATGTTTGTTAAGTTCTAAAACATCTTTTGAGGAAAACATTCTTTTGAAAGACACCTAAGCTTACCTGATTCACGTTGAGATAGATGTTCCAAAAGAGGGCAATGTTCTTGTTTGAGCTCATGGAAGATTTATTGTTTAGTGACAAGCAAGCCCAACTTTGAAGCTATTATTATCATCCACCCTAGTCTTCGTCATTTGATAACTTTCGAATGATGTTCACAGAAACTAAAAAGATGCTGCTACCAGGATAAAAAGAGCTCTGTTGCTGGTCCCGTTAAATATTGTTTCACTGCCCGATTTGTTATCGTACACATGCGCTTTATGGAATGTTTTTTGTTTGATTCAAAGTTTTCTCCATGGGAATTATGCGACGCGATGACCAGGATTTCGGCTCCAACTTTTGTTTCGACATAAACTGACTATGGCCTACGTCACAAGGAACAGCTGAACGCACCCAGTGCTAGCCTAGCAACTTACATGGAAATAAACATTTCACACAACTTAAATGCGTCACAAACAGGACGCACGCAATTAAACAGTGTATCCACGGCATACAGATTCAGGACCAGCAACGCGCGCGCAAGATCGGCCTCATCAGTGCGTGCTAGACGTGCTAGACGCTTTATGTTCATTTTGCGCGTCCATGAGGTTGCACTACACCAAATATGCGCCCATAGAAAACAATGCAAAATCGGACTGACTCTCGTGAAGAGGTTGGCCTCCCTTTTTTTACTGGAAATTCACGATTATGGCCAGAAGATTACTTTTCGTTTCAATTTCATGGGAGTGAGCCACGAACATTTTTTTTATTCGCCTTTCAAGGAAGATACCCCCAAACAGCAGTAAAACTAAGCGCTCATTTCTGAATGTAGCCGCCCGCCTCTATCCAAAATAGGCCCGCAATTTGGGTCTTTTTGTGAAAGAAATACCCCGAACTGGAAACTGTCAGTCCCAAATTTGGGATTTATAGAAATTTTCTATGATGCTTCCTGATTATGGCATGTCTTATTGTAAAAAACACGTAGGATCAGAAAATATTAATGAGCTTGTGCGCAGAAATACAACCATTTGGTGGAATGCACCCTTCAATGACCACAAAAATGGCGCACTATAATCTCACAGTGAATGGGCGCGTACGCACGCACTGCGGTATTTTTATTCCATGTCTTTGCCGTATGGATCAAAGAGTGGTCAGGCCTATTCTCGTGAATCGCCCGTATTAATTAAACATCTCCACCGCTCATGAGTTCTGGATCTGCAACAGAAAACACATTTTGTTCCCTTTGCTGCTAAATGCTGCTTTTTTGAAGGTTTGAAGGCCGGAATGGGAGAGTGGTAGCCGCATGCGCACGTGTGTGAGGTAAAAAAGACTGTTTGTCACATCCATATAAAATGCGTCACGTTCATTTCGGTTTACAGGAACCACGGAACTGGAAATTAACGCACAACTTCAGCGATTGTCCAATGAGAGCCTGCAAATTGTGGCGCGTCCGCCTTTGTGACGAAGTCACTTACGAACCGAGAAATATGGAAGGGCTGCGTAGCACCGTGATCAGAATATCGACAAGAATATATTCTTGTATGAATATATTCGAATATGATATCAAACCAGTGCTCTGAAATATGTGATTGCCGAGTTTTCGGTAACTGAGTACCTTCTTCAGGGCAAGCAGATTCAGTTCTGAATGAACGCGGAAAAATCCACGTTCATTCCCACTGGATGCAGCGTTCCAAGTTAAAAAATGACGCGCTGCTCCAGTTCCTTACGCTGTACATCGGATGACGCTTTCTGCAGGATGCAGACGCCTACGTCACCGAGAATATGTGGCGACGCGCAAGAGTGCTGCGCAACAGCGAGACCAGGTGTTTGTTGGCGAACACTGCGCAAGTGTTCCGCGAAACGGTCACCAAGGCGACGCTTGGTCTCTCCGACCAAGCGTCGCCTTGGCCAGAACTTTGGTGCAGACAAGAAGCGCAACTCCACATCACCACGATACAAGCAGGATCCTCTAATGGTTGCTTCTGTATAATTATTTTATTGGCCGTACAGGAACAACGACAACATTCTGGAAACACAGAAACAGAAAGGGGGCTTAATTAGGAATCTAACTCGAATCGATAAGTTTCAAACTATTCACTTTCTATAGTGAAGAGATTAACATAAATTTACATTCTACTAGAATATTCAACCTGGTCCAATACAACTGAACTAGTCGCTAAATCAGACATCGCCGTAATTAGAATAAAGGTAAAACGAGAATTACTGGGCCAGTCATGAATAAAACAAACAGAAGGCAGAGTGAAAATTAAACCATTGACATGTAAGAAAATTGAGTCTAATTTGTCCAATGTATCGAATGTACAAACCAGAAATAAAATATTCTACGGATTGCCAGACTAAGAGATATGTATTAAATTGAAAGCAAATCTACATGTATTTCTACATTATTTGTACATCGGAGAGAAATATGGAAGGGCTGCGTAGCACCGTGATCAGAATATCGACAAAAATATATCAAATCAGTGCTCTGGAATAATGTGATTGCCGAGCTTTCGGTAAATGAGTACCTTCTTTAGGGCAAGCAGATTCAGTTTATATGATTAATCATAACTTCAGTTTTCGTTATAAATCGTTCAGGGTGATCAAATCAGTACTTGGACAATTCACGGTAAAGAAATCCTCCTTTCACCAAAATGTGAAGATTATCAGTCTGGCTTCGTCGTTAGATTTTTTTTTGAAAAGGTAACCACAGCAGACCAGGAGACAGTATAAGCACAAGAACCAAAAATGTGGAAAATGGTTTCGTTTCGTTGTAGACTTATTCATTTTGAACAAAAAGCTATTTGTACCCAACATTTTATGGATTGGAACCACCTTAACCTAGTATCAATGGTGCATTGAAAGGATTATTAAAAACAGAAGACCATTTAGAAAGATAGTCTATTTGAAGCTTATTGTTCCATTTGGTCATAAAAGTATACGGGAAATTTTCTTACTCGAAGTCAACACTACAAAAATGCTATGAGAACCTTTTAATCACTTAAAAGAGTATTTAAATTAAAAGTAATAAAAGAAAATTCAACAAACTTGGAAAAGCTAACTTAAGCCTTAATTACTCCTACATATTCCAAAAAATTGGTTCTTGGATTAAACTCCTTAAAATCCGCACAAGAGAGAAATTTCCCATTACCATCCAATAAATCGAGGACATACTAGACTCCGGCTGAGTCTCAATGCTTGTAATAAATACATCTCCGACCCACTTAGATTTCATCATTATACCAAAGGGTATTGATCCGAACATCTTGGTGTAATGGCTGCACCGTAAATAATAATACAATGGATGTGATGGTCAAAGGTTATCACATGGCCAACAGCTGGCTGAACAGTAAAGTATAGCACGGTATACATACAGAACAAAGTTATCTCGTTGACACGCCTGAAATCTTACAATTTCTATCAAAGATCGTGAGAAATATTTATATAATAATTACTTACTACTTACTGGGGGTTTGAAGCATTGACACTCTCCCACACTTAGGAGCATATGCTCTCTTCAAATAAATAGAAGCAAAATACAAAGGAAACTGTTTTACATTCGAGACCCTAAAACCAATATGACCACCTTAACACTGCGTACACGGAAAGCGCCAAAAATTAAAAAAAACTTTTCGTTAATTACCTCGTGACATGCATATGCAAAAGAAAGTTTTGGAAGAATGAGGGCGCCCTTACTAAGGCACAGTTCCCTACACAAAATTTACAGAACTGCATTAATTCTGAACTGAATTAACATTTTTGGTCATAACATGACTCAGAACGTACTAGAGCTGAGTTGAATGCGTCCCCCCGAGCACTTTACACGTGCAGCGACCACAGCCGAATGGTAATTGTATGCGCACAGTAGCTTAATTAAACGACTTTTGAAGGGGTGGGTATCACTGAGGAAAATGCCAAAGAAACATTTAAAGAGTATATAATCAGTCCAGCTTGCGCAATGCCTTAACCGCCTCTGATGCATTGATGATTTGCTGTCTTCAGCATAGTCTTGGTCTAGGAAGTAATCGGATAGTTGTTAAGCTTGCACATTAATCATTTACACTTTTCCCACTGGAGCAAACAATAACGTATCGATACCCTCTATCGATAGAGAAACGTAATCTATTGTAGAGTCGAATAAAGAGGGGAATTCGTTAAAAGTTCAGGACGACCTGGACGACCTAAAAACCACCTTCAGGGAAAGCACAGAAAAAAGTTGCTACCAATTGAAGACCAGATCTCTGCCCATTATTTACGAAAATGTATGACCACAGACTCGATTAACAGGCAGATGTACCCCCGTTCAGGAGCCTTGGTTTGGTAGTGAGAGACCGCCCATTGCCATAAGTCATCAAGGAATGCCTCGTGCTCGACAGCCGGTATCAAAGGCATTTCGCCCAGGCTCGTCCTCAGAAACACTAAGGACAAAAAAGAAACTTTTCTGAATTTTCGTTCAAATATACAAATCTAAATGCTTAACACTCAGCACAGAAAGAATTCAATGTGGTTACCGAAGTACTAACTAAATATTTGTAGCTTTAGACGGGAGGTTTTAGCAAATGAGAAAAAACAAAAAAATCACAAAAACACCAAAACATCTGTATGGGCAGCCTTTAGCAGAAACATGGACATTCTAACTAAACTTAATCCAGCCCTGTCTTTGCCGACAATGGCACATCGAAGTTAAGCTTGAGAGAGAGAGATGAAGAGGCTTGAACTTCCAACTTCTCTACAATTATAGCAAGAGAGATCTTAAAACAAACAGGTGGATCAAAGAAATACAAAAGTCCATGGTGTGGTGGTAACAGCGAATGGATTAATGAACATCAGCTGGACATCTGGTAAGAAAAGAGGGTCAAAGGTTAGATAGAGTGGCAGTCACTACGGTATGAGAGGAAAAGCGAGAGGGCCCTCATTGAAAAAGAAAATAAGCCAGTGGCAGAAACAGTGACCTGGCGAGCACATAACAAAGATAGAGAGAATTTGTTTTAAATATAGAGCCAAAATGGAAAATTTGTCCGAATTGTTTAATCAGCAAAAGAATCCTCATCAACCATGATCCTCCCCCGAAACAAAGCAAAGAATATTGTCTAATCGTTGCTAAGATTTTGGCGCATTCAATAGCAAACATATTTCCATGAGGGCAACTCCCCCTCCCCCTTCCGCTGGATATGTCACGTTTGATGACATGGAAATGCTCAGAATTGTGAAACTTGATTTTAGACTGTAAATTCAAGGAAACGACATGAAACTACATGGAAATGCTGATCTAAAATGGACAAACAAACGTCGTTGTTCACCTTGACAAACGTCGTTTTGAAAAGTTGAACCCTGACGTTTGTCTCTCCGTTTTAGAAAAATCATAAAAAACAGCCTTACGTTTTGTTTGAACTTCAGACATGCGCAGCTCCTTCGTCTTGATTTCACACGTTGCACTTGAGCAACCAAACGTCTTTAACAGTTGAACAGTGTCTGGAATGGATTGGTTCCACATGTATACAGGCGACTCGTAGCCCTGTAATAATTTGTATTTTATAGTAAGTTTTAACCTTCACCCAACGTATAGAATAATCATAGTTTAGTCCAAGAGTTGTGAAAGAAAGAAAAAAGAAATTAAGCTATGAGCTTAAGTGTACCTTCATCGGTTAAGAAGAGACAGGGTGGTGAGAAAAAAATTTTGGGGGGGTTGAATACATGCACCAAGCACACGCGGGAAGACCATACGGTACATTCAAATAGAAATCGGTTGCCCGGGCTGTGTAAAAAATACGTCCTCTATTGTTTCTGTTCAGAGCAGATACCTCCTATTCGAACGGGGAATGGCCTATTAAATCATCCCCCAACTTCTTCGTGGAGAGTAAAAAAAAATTAAGGCCGGGTGTAAAGAACTTCTCGCATTTAGAGTGTAGCTGCAATGAAATTTTGTAAGACACATTTTTTTTCTACAACTTTGTACTATTCTCCAGTGTATAAAACTCTTTTACATTCCTTTTTGGTTAAAAGCATTGAAGATTGAATTTTTGTATCACTTCAAATTATTCACTCATTCCTGGACAACTGGGGCATGGATGGGAGTCATTGTAACTGTTGCTGTGCACTGCTACGCTTTCGCACAGCTGTCCCAGAATAGTGAGAGAATTGGTAAAGTAATCTAAGTAGGCCTATACAGTCTGTTCAAATCACCTGTATTATGTGCCGGTATTCCGATTTCTTCTTCAAAGATTGAGAGGCTCAAATTGTATATCAACTTTGGCGAGATCATAATTATTTTGAATATTTTTTACAAGAAATGCAGCATTGCGTGAGAATGTGAACAACAACATTAATGGTGGTTTAGCGTGGAACTGTAAATTGGGGAAATGATATCATAGTAACTGTTGCTTTATAGTTGCTTCAGAGCAAAAAGAGAAATTCAGTGACATCGGAGGTCACTTTCAGAGGTTTTCTTGCCCCCACCGCCCAGAAATATGAACGTTAAGAGGGTTTCTTCAGAATGCAATACGTACACGAAAGTTTCTCGAGTAGAATCCCTTGAAATGTAGAACTGAAGCTCAACGCTTCCATGTGAACCCAGTAAAGCCAACGTAACCGAGTGAAGGTTAAATTGTCAGGAGCTTGCCCTACCTTTACGAACTCGCCCCACTTTTCGTGGTTCTTGACATAAAGGTTTGCCGCAGTTGGCAGTTCAAGGCCTTCGTTATCCTTGTCCACAATGACCAGCCCCTCCCCTCCCGGCTTCAAGCATCTCACGATGCCCTTCAAGGTTCTCGGCTGGTCTGCGAAGGGGATCCAGTGAAGTACGAAAAAACTCACAACCTTGTCGAACTTTCCCTTCCAATCTGGGTTATCTCCTACATCCCGAGCATCCCCTATGAGATATGTGATATTGGAAGCCGCTTTGCTCTGACGGGCAACTGCTATCATTTCTTTCGAAGAATCGATACCTGGAAAAGAGTTGATATTATACATATGAGTAAATCCGCTTCAACTGGAACAACGTTACTTTGCCGAGGAAGCACAAGTTCAAATCTGCTGCACAGCGACACCCATTACTAAGTCACAACATATCTTGACCTCGACACAGGGATTTATTCAGGCAGGGATTTATTCTGGTGAAATTGGGACAAAGTCATTACTGGGGTGTCCATTCTTCTTGAAAACATCTGCTTTCTCCGTGAAAATGTTTGCATTTGTTTCTGTGATCTAAGAACCTAAGTGCAGAATCACGACAATAGTACTTCGGAGGCAAACCCGAGCAAAGAGAAATGGTGTCTAAAGTATTTAATATTTCATTACCATCCATTTCAGTCATCCAGATATTACCCAAATTAATCAGCAAAAGTGAAGCCAAGTCTTTTATACTGTGGACATTAATAATTGCCCTAGGTAATATTCCTTCCTATGGTTCGCATGATTTTAATCTGTGCAGATCATCAAACGCCTATCATAGCTCAGTAGAAAAATGTACATGTACATATACTGACATACCTCCATACACATTTGTACAGAAAATGTAGAATTTGACCATAAAGTTTGTCTGTCTCAAGCACACGATATCAACAAGGGCTTAGAAAAAAAGTTTGGCTTTTTATGGTTTAGCTAAGAATCAACACAAATAGCGAGGTTCGAGGTTGGGATGGACTGGAACTTAGATACCGAAGACTGGTGTCAAAACAGTAACCTGTGGAATGATTAATCAAGTACGCGGTTTAAGTGTAACCAAGAGACTAAAATCGCGAGACATCGAAGCAGCAGATTTAGAAATACCCTAAATGTTTTTATTAGTGTATGGTACCATAAATCACAATGGTATTCATTTTTGAAAATGTTCATTCTATGGACATAAATGCGACTGGTTTTACCTGTTACACTGTTGACTTTTGATGCTATTGTTTTGGTCTCTTCGCCCGATCCACAACCGACATCTAAAACCGCATCTTCAGATCGAAAAGTTAAGTTGTCGATATTGGCTTTAATTATGATATGTTGGACAATTCGCCCCTCACCGTGGTAGTGATGACTGGCTGAAAAATTCATCCCGGGATTATCTCTTTATAAGGCTGCATGGATAGGAGAGTTTGAATAATTGCAACTAATTAATTATAAGCATTTATTAAATAAAAGGAGCTACCACGAGTTTTTATACGATGCAAGCATATTTATGACTTCCACCAGCTTATTTAAAGATTCCTTTTGAGTAAGTGTGGGGGAATTTGCCACGGACATTTTCAGAATTATTACATGTCAACGTACTACAGTGTTCCCTAACTCCATAAATCCCAATCTAAATCTTATGAGCAATCTCTGCTTCCCAAAGCAATAGACAATTAAGCCAATCACTGCACAGTATCTGGCATAAAGAAGCCAGGGAGGAGCGGTTCTGCATTGGGGCCACTCATACCACTTCAGATTTTTATAATTCTCTTGTGGGGATGGCAAAGGCCTTTTCTTCGGACAAAGATAAAGCTTTGAAACGACTGGAATTTTTTTATCGCTCCGTCTAGTGCAAACCGAACGACATGATTCAATCTTTTCACTAGAAGCTTAATAGTCGCACACTTTCACAGCGGAGATGCTAAATCTTGAAAAAGTCTGGAACGCTGCACACAGCTGATGCACCAAAATGATCTACGAAAGAACCCGAATATTTCCAAATAGGTCACTTGGGAGACATTTTGTGGTAAATTTTTCAACATTAGGGAGATATTTCGATGTCTCCCTAATGCTCCAACTACAAAAAGGAGGAAATTTTGGGTCCACATTTTGAGAGATGATAGATTAGGGTCTGAAAGGAAAACATGCAAAGTTTGATTAAGATCGGATCGGATTAGGGAATATTGAATTATGGGACGGTAAAGTTTGAAAAGTTTTGTGCACGTTCCTATGGGAATGTCTCCCAAGTGACCTATTTTCGGTAATAAGAATGTCTATATTATTCAACTGAGTAACAAAAGACGAATTTGCCACTCAAATACACTGTACTGACAGCAGGGAACGACACCACCCCCAGCATACAACCATTCCCAGCAGGCATTTTGCAAATTCAAAGTCAAATTAAACATTATGAGGCAAAACGGAAAGTTCAAGTACATTTCCATCCATATGTGTGGCACAATGTTATTAAGCCGACCAATACGCGTAGCGCAGGGAGATAGTAGAGCTGACGTACACCTGGTGTAAGTAACCTACACGGGGGGTACGCCCTTCCTCCCAGCAGATATCCGTACCGCCCCCTCGGATTGCCCCCCCCCTCATTCGAAATCTCTGTTGATTTTATACAGCTATGCAGTCACAGCTTATTTTTTTTGTGGCGTGCCCTTAACAAAATGTGCACCCCGGGTGCCCCCAAAAAGTTACCCCTTTATCGATATAGTTACGTCATAGCCTATACCTCAGGACCAATAATTTCCACTTCCTCACAAACCATGCTGTAGTTGTGTAGCACCAAATTATATCTCAAGGTCGTTTACCTAAAAGCCGGATCCGGGGATTCTGTTTGCCATCTCCCCAGACCGCAGTGGCTTCAACCTCTTCCCGGACCCCCGCCTCCTCCCCCCCTTCTCCCGGAACAGCGAAAGTTAGTTCCTTGTAATATTGGGCAAGACAACAGAGTTGGATCCGACTCTACTGGCAAATTAAAGGTTTTTAACCATAATTAGCCTTGTGTGGTTGTGCTGTCACAGTTTCCGTCCAATGTTCCTGCTTATGGAACCAACATCACATAATTGTGTGACAACATCACATATTTAACAATGTCACATAATCAATAGATTGAGTGCAGCGTTAGTAAGCCTACTCTTTTTTTCGATTTGGACGGGATTGTCATACTGTGGCGAGATCTCTCGAACCTCGTTTCTTCCTCTGAAGAGAGATTAATAAAGCATCCTCAACGCAAAGGGGTACAGGTCCGTTTGGGTGGAAATGTGCCGCCGAAGGAATTGATTACTGAGCCTGCTAAATAAGGCACCAACTTGAATGCGACTGGACACCTACATGCAGTTTCGAAACACACAAGGCACTTCTGGTTTATTGTACAACAAAAACAAAGCCAGTAAAACGGCAATGAATGTGGACTCGAGTTTGAGCAATAAAAAGACCAATTTGATTAATAAATAGAGCAATTTAACACTGTGGAAAGAGCAAAAAAGAGCAGTTTGAGCAATAAAAAGAGCAAAATGAGTAAAATAAACAATGAAATGTGCAAATCAGAAGCAGTGAAATACATATATACCTGTATATATAAAATTAAACGATTTCATTTGTTTTGTGTCATTCAAAGATCATCCCCCCTTGGGTCAACATGAACAGTATTTTTGAAGTCAAGCCCTATGCTTTTCACCAGTGTGACAAATGATTTAAAAGTCTAATCTAGAGAAGCACATGGAAAATATCCACGTTGAGGATGAATCAGACATGAATTAAGTTGACGATATTAACTCAGAAACCGGTTGAGGAGGTTGGTGACTAAACCTCGGATGGAGACAGTTCAGGATTGGAAGACAATGCCACCTACCAAGATTGGCTGGCTGAAGCCAGAGAAGCAAATAGGGAGATCAGGGATGAAAAATATGACAAGTACGTCAACGAAGGCATGGATGAAGATCAAGCCAGGCAGAAGGCAAACAGAAAGACCCTCTTGGCAGTCAAGCAAGACTTTTTCGACAACTATAAGCAGTTCCTGTCAAATTACCTTAAGTTGAGGGATAATGAAACTCATAAGGACATTGTGGATGATCTCGATGGAAAACTTGATAAAGGCATGAAAGTCAACAAAGCCTTGGATAGAGTTTTGCCTAAATATGCTGACAATTTTGCCAGACTGTTTCATGACGAAGAGGAGCATGCCTTAAAGATAACAGTCTGTAGAGGCAAATGGTTCCAAAAAGAATGAGTACATGTATTATGCCTCTGATTTAAATTTAACAAACTTCCGGTAATCACCCTTGTAGTAATTCTTGAAATTACTAAGATAATTATTGTAAAACATCAATGATGAACAACAGGAAATAAAACGGTACCAGTACCAACCTACCAGAAACCAATAAGTGAAGTCCAATGAATTTGTTTTGTGTTATACTTATCGGTATGACTATCGAATAATAATTCTCAGGTTGGATATTGGCCGGAACTTCTGCACAATATTCCACAGCACGACGAATAAATTTTCCCCTTTGCTACGTGTTAAAAATCCCTTACTGACGCCATGCCACCCCTAAGAATTCTTAATTTTTTAAATAATGCCGTATTTTACATTTAGGTTCAACAATAAAGCACAACAGTACAGAATTAACGCTCCGCTCTAATTTTGCAAAACCGTACACATGTACAGGGTAACCGACGTAAAACACCAGTTCAAAAGATTATTTCAGCCAGAGCCCAACCATATACATATACAGTGTAAAATATTCAAATTCAAACGATTAAGAAATTCAGCTAGGGACAAAAGAGTCTTCTTCGCGAATCGATCAGATCTCGGTAGCCATAGTAAGCTGAACGCAAGACCATGTGAGCGCCCTCTCTCCTTTAGTGTCCAAAGATTAAGTCAGACGTACCAACGCTCACTTCCTACGTACATAATATGATCATTAACACAATAGTCCGCCGACACAGCCAACCCACTCCGTACAGTCCACTGTCTAGGAATTATCTCCTCTCAATACCCGGAGGCACGTACGGCCTTTTGTTTAGGGGTTTTCACTTCCTACTCCTTGATTACCTTAGGGTCTCCTAGTGGGCCATTCAGTATTTTTTTCATGACATCACACCACCTATGACTCACCACTATTTTGTATCATCCTATTTCATAAGAAAGGTCAAGTTGTGCCGAAAGTCTTCACCCCATGCTATTCCTTATTCATATTTTATCCCATACACAAGGTCATCTTGTACTACCCTTTCCGACCCTATGCTATACCTATTCGTCCCTAGGCCATCCTGTGCCATACATTTTATCCTACACCTCATTCCTATTCATATTTTTATAATCACAATTATTTTGCTCATGGCTATTGGTGTGACCTTTTGCTATTTCTAGGCCAAAGGTAGGTCTCCGTCCAAATACAAAGAAAATCAGTCAGAGAAGAAATTCTTAAGACACCATGGTCTTTCAATCAGCGCAATAACTTCACTTGCCACAATACACAGTAAATGGTACCTTCCTGTATTTTTTAAATGCCACCACAGACCCTCCTAAAATTACCTACACCCCTGTGTACAATGGAATATTCCCGTTCCTCAAATTATGCAAACTAGGGTCACGTGGGACGGAATCCGGCCTTCTGATTGTTCGAGAGGCCGCCAAAATTACGTAATATCTACTGGTTAGACGGGCATCACTACTTATCCACTATCGTGACCTTGCATGAAACCACATCAATGACTTCCTAGTTAAGTATTGTACCCTAAAAATATGCAAATTTCAAACATACTTTCTAGGAAGCTCCGGTCGGCACAAACGCTTGTATCTCTACCAGTGTATTCAAAGCGACATCAACCTAATAAATCTCTCTAGGCTGGTCGCAAAAAAGTACTCAAATACATCAGCGAAGACCGCTTGTCCATGAAGCTGTATAAAAATCAAACATTAAGAAAATTGTGGGAAGTGGCCATGTTGATGCCGATAACAAATCCAATCCACTCCTTTCTATAAAAAAAAAATAATTCACGGCAGCAATCTTCTGGAAATATTCCTGAAAAACCCCCGTTTTAATAGCAAAAGGATAAAATTGACCGATTATTCCTTGAATCTTGATTGCACAGACGGTTTCCCTTATTTTCTCAGCCATAGAAACACTTCTCTCAACTTTGGAAAACAGTCCCCAAAAAACTTGAAATTCATGGTGGCGGCAGTACTCCACTCCACCAAACTTAAGATGTAGAGGCGACATGTATGATTAGGCCCCTTCCATATACACCTCCTGGCCCGCACCTTCCTGCGCTGCGCCTGCCTGTAGCTGTACGCTGCGCTGGTATGTGTTAGTTTATTTTTGTTAAAATTAATTTTGGCCTTTTGGCCGCCCATAAACAAAGACTGCTTATCTTATGGCTTTTCTTTCACTGCACTGCCCGCGCATCCATCGTGCACACAGCACTGCTGGACAGCATGCAGCCCATCACAACGCTGCACGCTCTGTCCACATGACCCCCTGACATTACTCACCGGGGGACTCCCTACATTGACTATTTTTTTTTAAACTAAGCTAAGTCGCACTTTCGTTACAACACTAACGCTCAAAGCCTGTACATATAGTAAGGTAGCCCCACTAGAGTGGCACGGACTCTCGCTACCGCTCAGTCCTTAGCCACACATCCGTATATGCAATTTGCGTGTCGGCGTAGTCAAAAAGTTCAGTGCACCCTCTTATAATCGTAGCCGCAATTTTTTGGCACACAGAGATGATCCTTAGCCTCTACGCTTTCTTAGTGCCATTTGTTGAATGCTTTCACTCACGTTGTTCTCGTATTTTCCAGTCTTTTGCCTTCACCCATTCAATCTCACGGGCTCGCTCTCACAGTCGCCATCTTTAAAATAAGTTCGTTGAACACTACGTCACTTGACCCCCCCATCGTGTCGACGGCTGTTCCATGTCAAGACAACTAATACGCGGACTGAGCGATAAGGGTGCACCCTGGTAATTAGGCCCTAAATATGTCCGCCGAGCTCATTAATAAAAGTTATAGACTAAAAATATTCTATATTAGAGGGTCCTGAGAGCCATGGAACTGAGGAATTCAAGAAATATGAGACTGGACCTCTGGGCTGGACTCAGGGCTTCCAATTCTGAGCAATTTGGATGCGATCGAGTTTAAAAGTGGCACTATTTAAGCCATTTTGCTGAGGGAGCGTTTTTCAAAATGGCTACTTTTCTGGACAGGGACATTTTTATGCATTTTAGGGGTGGTCTGCTTCTGGTGAAAATTTCTCAAAAATTCATTGGTCAACCCCCCGAAAGTTGTGTGAAGGACATGTGGAACATCATTTTTCTGTGCAGCCTGAACACCTGTAAGAGTTGTGAGTATTTTAAAAATATTTGTGAAGTATGGGGATTTATCACTGCTGTCTATGGGAATTTATTTGTAGTGGTGCACCCATAAGATACTACATGTGACCAATGGACTCTTCCAAACTTGGGCAGCAGTTTAGATATGTCTTGACATGGAACAACCGTCGAGACGATGAGGGGTCATGTGACATAGGGGTGAATTCCACCAAATGGTTGTATTTCTGATTGTTGCTGGGGAAATGTTCCAAATACTCATGCCGGCCGGGAATGTGTTCGCCCTGGGGCCATGGAGGGTTGCCAGGAAGGCTGGGGACACCAGGGAGTTTTCCGGGCTTGTTCACTTCTGCGAGGGCGCGTTTACTGGTCGAGAATGGCAGCAGATGTACGAGCTCATATACGGAAATACGAGCGCTTTGTTGAAGCAAAGCTGTCAGAACCCACTCCAAAGTAGGCTGGCTTTCAGGCCATTGGAAGTTCTGGCCATCGGATTTCGTTAAAAACGACCGGGGCCGTGGGGGATGAAGACATTCTCGTAATGACTGATGTGTACGCGAAGTACGTGCAGGCAGTTCAGTGTTGGGACCAAAGTGCCGAGACTCTAGCCAGGGTGCTTAGGGACAGCTGGTTTACAAGATTTGGCTTCCGAACAGAATCACAGCGAACTGGCAGGAATTTTGAAGGAGTCCTGGTACTGGTACGCGAATTATGGGCCTTGTACGGTATAAAAAGGTCGCGCACTACACCGTATCATCCAGAAGGAAATGCGCAGGCAGAAAGATTCAATAGAACGCTGTTCGGTTTGTTCAAATCATTCAGTTAAAGTGAACGCAAACGTTAGCCTGACTTCTTGTCACATCTTGTATTCGTGTACAGTTCTACTCATTGCACAGCCGGTGTGGCTCCATACACTTTGGGCCGTAGTGATTGTAACTGGGGACAAGACTTTGTCCAGGAGCAGTCTGAACTGCTCGAAGTACGGAAAAGAGCTCTTCAGAACGAAACTATGCACTATGGTAAGGTTAATGCTGTACCCTTACCTGTTGATTCACAGGTATCGTTGAAAAAGTGCACTTTTAGGGGTCAACACAAATTGAAAGATGCCTACGATAGAGCACCGTATGTTGTAACATGGACAAATGCACATGATGACGTGCATCGCATCCGTCCATTGGATGGCGGACCCGAAAAGACAGTAAACCGTAAATACTTGCGTTTAGATCCGCTTGCTGAGTCGGAGTCAGGTAGTGGCTCAGAGCTAAGCGATGAGTCTGAATTTGATGTGATTTGTAACCAAGACCGCACCGAGTCACATGACCTTTGAGCAGGGCGTAAACAATGATAAAGTAGGGAGCCCCTTCGGGCCTGAGAGATCGGATGAATCCAGCACTTCCACAAAGGAGGTCACACAGACGAAATAAGCGGGATTCACTCCAACCCACACAGGCTGTCCCGCTCCGATTTAAAGTAGCCTCCTTAATTAGGGGACTGCAGCATGTGGTTGCATGGGACTCGGGTGTGCTCTTGGAAGAGACTTAGGGTATCCAGTCTTCCTCCTGTGAGCCAGACTGACCTCTTCACCTCACTCTTCTTTGGGGACTTGGGTGGTTGGTCATTATGTTTATACATTTACATGTACCCGTATGGTTGTACAATAGCCTGTAAATAAGTGATTCCAGTAATACTTTGTATTGAAAGATTTTGCTGAGTTTCAGACTATTTCTGCCAATTAAGAATACACATATTGATTATTTGAATTGAACATAGTTGGAGAGGAAGAGGCATCCTCTAGCACCACATGTACCGAACATGGGATTCGTGTTATTTGGTCACAGTTTTGTGAAGCGTTTATCTGGTAGGCGTAAAGCCATAGTGAATATAGATTAGAGAGGGGAACAGTACCAATTTCTTGCTTTGGAGAGGGAGGCCTGACCCTTAGTCGTATTAATGCCTTCTCGTTATTGCCAAATGATTGCCCGAGAAGAGCCCTCCATTTTGGTAATTGACCTAGGGACTATATGATTTATGTACAGTGGGTGTGACTCCAAGGTCTGTATGCGACTTGCTTTGTACCTTCGTCCGGATTTGACCAAGTTTGATATTAGACCTTGCGTAGTGGTGTTTCTGCCAGTTTTGCCACGTACCGGGAATATGAAGAAGCCTTCAACAAGCTGTTTGAGGCGGAAACTCTAAAGGAGGACCGTTGGTGGGTCTGGCACCACCGCGGCCTAAAGCATCCGAGGTTTAATGTGGACGGGGTGCACTTGAATCAACAGGGGATGACCCAGTATCAGATAACTCTCAGATAACTTGTAAAATATTTTGAAAACAGGTGTTGGTAGATAAATATCTCTGATGTATTCTACTGAATAAGAGAAAATGTTTGAAGCGTTAGGCTTTGTTAAATAAGTTGTTCACAGGAGCAATACAGATTTTATCTTGTTGAAGCAGTGTCCTTAACAGTTTCAATTGTAAATCAAGATGATCTCCAGGAGTAGATCAATTAAGTAGGGGGGTTTGTGGGGAAACGATTAACACGTATTATGATTTTGCTTGATTGTTCATAAATTGGAATAGTAGAGGGCGCTCGTTATTGACTGTTAAAGTCATCAAGCCTTTTGCAAGTTAAATTTGAATAAAGTCTGGTACACTAAGTTCTTTAAATTGACGTGAACATAACAATTGGGATTCTCCAACTGAAGCCACTGTTGCTTTACCTTGTTATACCCAGCAAGAAATGAGACCGAGGGGTACCCCCCCAACATGTCCAATCCCTATACATATTCTAGACTATTGTTACTTAACACATCCCCCCAAGATGTCTGAAAGGAATTCCCCAGATTCCTGCGAGACGATGACCAACACAAAGCAGGGGGGGTTCTCTCCGTCTCATACCTTGCTGCATATGTACCTTGTGATTAGGGGAAGCTTTTCCTTAGTTACGTAAGAGACGCCTTGCAACAATACACTGTTCTCAATGGATAAGAACGGCACAAAAGAACCAGTCCATTCCAGAGATTGTGGTCGCTATGCAAAAGCTTGCCCGAATCATGAGGCATAGCAACAGTGTCTTTAGTCTGGGGAATTCAAATTCTTACGTTTCTATGTAATCAGATAACACAGATACTGCAGAATGGAGATCATAAGCGCGGAATTTTGTGGTAAGCAGCGCCCATTGGGCCCTGGCAACACTTTATGAACGTATGTAATGTTAATAATTTAAAGCTAAATAACACGTTGTGGTGTTTATTTTTTAAACAAATGCGTGTGGTTGATATGTTAATAAGTTTAGTCACAATGACACAATCAGTAGGTGTTAATAACAAAACACAGGAACACGTTTATCGACTGGTAATACTTTCTGATGACCGAAACACGTTTATTTTCAAATAGGCGTTTAACTTTAAACAGCTACATGTTTCTAACCGTTTATAGACGCGCTTATAATGGGCGTTGGTCACAGTTTTTATATGACTGGATGTCACAAAATGATTCTTAAGGTAATTATTTCAATGATTTCGTCGCAGTTTGCATCAGGAAGAAGAAACCGGATTCTCTGTTTCGATGCATCGCTCCATTTGGCTTCTTGGGACAAGTTTGATCGAAGACAGTAGTTAACCACATAATTCTACAAACTCTGATTGAACTCACGCTAGTCGACGATTGATGAACTAGTCTAGCAAACTATTCGCGACCAGCCTATGAAGGTTGGTCGCATCGTTAGTCGCCATAAACAGTTTTTAATAGCGCAGCGCAGAGAGGACCAGTTAAGAAAAATGCCGCAAAACAGTATGTCACTAGTAAACTACCATGTTCACTTTTAGTTTCTCTATTTTGGGCTTCCTACGGCCACCTTTTCTCCCCTCCGGCCTCATGACCTGACAATGGTTGACTAGGGTCGTTCACACTTTAACTTCATCGCACATGCGCTAGGTACGTCACGAACCAACCACTAGTTAACAAGTGGTGCATGATCAAACTTGCCCCTGGTAAAAGGTGGATTGATGTAGATAAAAATGTGGCGCGGTTGCATTGATTATCAGTTACTTTAAAAAGTATGGCACAGAATGATGACAGGGCGTGAACTGAATATACACCATGCAGAAATTGGGTCCCATAAATAATGCCCAAGTCAGCATTTCGAACATGAACAAAAGGAGGGCTAATTTTTCTTTGTATCTAAAGTGAAGTATCTGAAGTGCTAAAATCGTTATTTTAAAAAAACTCCTCAATACTTCCCAAGAAATCAAAACAAACAACAAACTACATGAAAACTACAAAATTGGGAAAATCATTATCACTTTTAAAATGATAATTGCATCCACCTGTGACTTGATAAAGAGGTACTTAAATTCTGCACAGGAGAAAAATGTTGACTGGCTCACTCTTCCCATGTCTAAAACGCATGGCTTGTTTGTCATCCAATCCCTCGATGCAATGAATAAGTGAACATTTTAGACCCTTTCAGGTTTCATGAAACAGTG